ATAGACCACATTTGTTTATCCACTTATCCATCAAGAGACAGGATACTTGGGCTGCATCCACCTTTTGGCTATTGCAGATAATGTTGCTATGAACAGGGGTGTACAAATATCTCTTCAGGACCTGCTTTCCACTCTTTTGTGGGTATATACCCGTAAGTGGGATTGCTGGATTGTGTGTTCTATTTTTTTTTTTTTATCCTCACCTGAGGACATTTTTCCATTTTTTGTTCAGGTAGAGTGGGAGGGAGAGAGAGGAACAGAGAGAGAGAGAAACATCGACGTGAAAGGATCACATCGAGTGGCTGCCACCCGCACAACCGACCAGGGCCGGGGACAAACTGCAACCGAGGTACGTGCCCTTAGCGGGAACCGAACCCGGGTCTCTCTGGACCGCAGGCCGACGCTCTAACCGCTGAGCCAAACCGGCCAGGGCTTGTGTGTTCTATTTTTAATTTTTGAAGGAACTACCATATTGTTTGCCATAGAGGCTGCACCATTTTTTCATTTCCACTAATGGTACACAAGAATTTCAGTTACTCCACATCCTGGTCAACACTTGCTTTTTTCATGATAGTAGCCATGCTAATAGTTGTGAGAAAGGGCTACCATCTTAAAGAAGGTGGTCAGGGTAAGCTTTGGTGAGATGATGGTATTCAAGACATGACCAAAGTGAAGGAGATACCCTGGGGAAGAGCTTTGTATATGGAGAACAGTGGCTCCTGAGGCAGGAGCCTACCAGCACGTTTGAGGAACAGCAAGGAGACCAGAGTGGCTATAGCAGAATGAGCGGGTGGGAGAGGGAAAGAGATGAGGTGAGATGGGGGGCCATGGGAAGGTTTTGAACAGAGGAGGGACATGATCTGACTTTTAAAGAATCCTTCTGGCTGCTGTGTTGTGAAGGGGCCATGGAGAGACAAGGACAGGAGCAGGAAACCAGTAAGGTGACCATTGCAATACATGCAGGTGAGAGATGATGGGGTCTTGAACCAAGGAACAGCAGTAGACATGGAGAAAAGTGATTGGAATCTGGATGTGGCTTGAAGGCAAGACCAGTGGGATTTCCTGATGGACTGAAGTGAAATATAAGAGAAAGAGAAGTCAATTTTGACTCCAATGTTTTGGGCCCAGTGGGATGATGGGGTTATTATCAGCTGAGATGGGTGAAGCTGAACGAGGAGCAGGGTAGAGAAAGATCAGGAGTTCAAGTTCGGACACGTACTTTCTTAGCTTTCAGTAGGACATTTTCTTAGTGTTCTAAAAGGGAGACCATGGCTTCCAGGTGCTTTAATACCTGAACAAGTTGAAGGATAAGGAAAACAAATCCAACATAGAAGAAGACAAATAACATCAGTGCCATTGACTGAGCCCTTACTCGGAGCCAGGAACTGTGCTGAGAGCTACCCAATGGTGATCTTCCTGTCATTATCCCCACTTTACAGAGGAGCACCCAGCCTTAGGGAGATAAAGTCATTGGCCCCAAGGCCACCCAGATAATAAGTGGCAGATCTGGGGTTTGAACCCAGACCTGTCTAATCCAGAGCCCACAGTTTTACCCCTGCTGCTGATTAAAACCAGAAGTCCGAAGATTCATCAAAGTGATGGGCTTACGCTCAGTCTTGAAAGACGGGGTTTGTAGAAAAGGACAGAGAAAGTGGATTCAGCAAACACGATGAAGTTCTAACTCTTTGTCACAAACTGCAGGGTCCTGTATGGCCTGGTTCCTGCCATCCCCTGCAGCCTTCCCTCAGCCACTTGCTCTTTATGCCCCGCTGGCCTGACTTTGCGCTTTCCCCACACAGTCCCCCTGTCTGGACCGCTCCTCATCCCATCTCTTGTCCTGAATGACTCCAATGTCACTTCCTCACGTAAGCCTTTTCTGATCCTCTCCCTCCCCCTTCTAGAATTAGTCTCACTGCATCCTGAACTTGTCCTTTGTAGCCTCTAAGAAAATTTTCCTAATCATTGTGCAGGTATGTGTTCAGTGTCTGCCTCTCCCACCGGACTAGTGCTGTCCAATAAAACTTTCTGCAGTTATGCAAATGTTTCAGGCCTAAGCTGTCCCATACAGCAGCCACTACCCACATGTGGCTGTTGAGCTCCTGAGATGTGGTTAGTGCTACTGAGAAATAATTTTTCAAATTTCATATTTTATTTATAATTACATTGATACTATTTTTATATTATTAAAGTTATTTCACATGCAAATGATATGATTTATGTTTAAATTTAAATAGCCACATGTCGCTGGTGATTACTGTATTGGACAATGCAGTTTTAGATTATAAGCTTCTCGAGGGCAAGGGTAATGTCTATCTTATTCAGTTGTAGCATCTCTTGTATCAAGGATGATGTCCAAGTAAATTGAATCAACCAATCAATCAATCATTGTGGTCTTCAAAACTTGCTTTCAAGAAATCATCCTAGAAAGGAGAGACCCAGAAAAGTCTAACTTGCACAAGTTCACACAATAAGGCAGACCTAGATATAAAACCTCAGCCTCCTGAATCTCCTATACCTGGTGCTGTGCCCGAGTGGACAGCAGGTGAAAATCAGGGGTTGTTCATGGTTTCAAAAGAACCATTCTAGAGCTAGATGAAGGAGCCCCCAAGTATAAGGAAGGACTGTTCTCTTAGGCACCCTCATCCCCTTTACCCCTCCCCCTCTCCTGTAAACTATTTAGTGGCTTATATTCTACTAACACTTGGCCTCCCACAGGACTGAACCTGTTCCAAACCCCACTCTTGCCAACCCTCTCCAAGGCGCTCTGATTTTTAGAAACCATATTGCTCTCATGAAATCTGCTACCTGCAATCTGTGGTTTAAAACCATCTCAGTTGTGATCTGTAACCCACTCAGATTCATATGGCTGTTCCTTTGACTTTATTTATTTTAAATAAATTGAGGTAAACACATTTCAGGGCTAATTTTGAATTTATTCAAATGTTGTTTGGGGTTTTTAGATGACAGTTTTTGGAAGTCCAACATAAGGAGCCTATATATTCTGCATTTTTAATCAATGATCTTTCAGATGTAATAATAATAATAGTTAAGATGTATGAAATGCTTTGTATCTGTCATGTCTGTGGCACACATTATTTCGCTTGAGCTTCACAATAATTCCATGACCCAAGTACTATTGTGATTCCCATTTTATGGCTTGAGAAACTGAGAATCAGAAAGGTCAAGTCACTTGCTCAAAGTCACATAACCAGGAATTGGCAGAGTCAGGAGAGAATCAGTACTCTTAACCAGTGCACAATTTGGTCTCTCTAATAGATATTGTATGTATTTATGTGCACAAAATATCAGAAAGAATATCCAGGAAACATAAAACTGGGGTTTGGGAAAAGAGAGACTAACTTTTCATTTTTGTGCTTTAAAATTTTTTTTTACCCTATATAGATGATATAGTACATGATCTTATATGTTAATCTAAAATTAATTTTTAAATTTAAATAAGTAAAAACCTCTTATTACTTTGTCCTTTTTAAATTAATAAATTATCACAGTAGTGTCATGCCTGTATACTAGTAAATTAAATATACACGAATCTTTGAGTAATTTGCAAGATTCACATGCTCTCACATTATTTGAAAATTTATCCCAGTAAAACTGCAGTTTCAATATGAATCGTATTGTTATTGTGAGTACCAAATTTCATATTTCAGTTTTTAAATTTTATTTTTATTTTGAGATAATAGGTTGATTTTCTAACATGATACTTAATCAATGAAAGTGGTGTGTTTTCCATGAGGGATTTGCACTCAGATATCTCCATTTTTATGTATTTGTACATCAACCTCTGGATATGATAACTGGGCATCCTTTAGCATTTGTGAAATAATGCTGTATTACATAAGATATGCTATTTGTGGATCAATTAATAAAAGCTTAAAAGTAAATTTTGACTTAATTAAAATTTGAAATGAAAATTAATTTTACACTGATTGAGAAGTAAATGCTGCAATATCCTTCAGTACTCAGAGCCTCAGAGAGCTGTATCAGCCACACTAAAAGTCACTTGGGAGAATTCCTCAGTGGCTTAGAGAGAGAAAAAAATTTTCAAGAAAAGGAAATACACACATACAAATAATATTGTATCCTTCCCAGCAAATGCAAATGGTTTCTACTGCTACCATCCAAATAGCTAATGCTTCTAAAATTTTAAAACAACAGTCCCCCTTAATGTTCTTTTTAATGCCCCATCTCATACTCTTGGAATTTGCTTAACAAATCACCATGGGCTTGTGGTAGGAGAAATCCATAAGCCCCTCAACAAGACTCCTTGTCTTTTCCATTGCTTCGTTGTATTTCCTCAAGATTCTCAGAACAGATTTGGTATTGCTTAAAATGCCCATCCTCTAAGCAGTGCATTCCTGATGTTCCCAAGGATAGCTGTTGACAGCCTGTCTCACTCTAGCTGTTACAAAAACCTTCCATTCAGAAGAAATCAAGAGGCTTCAGCGAGGGTGTACAGCCCTCTCATTCACACTTGGTAAACAACCGGACTTTGCCCAAACCTCCCCTCTAGGAAGGCAGCTTAGCTTTTTAGAAACCAGTTTGCAACATCCATTATCATCCCTTCCAAAAGACCTTGCAAAAAAAAAAAAGGAATTGCACAGCATAGGAGAAGGGCTGGAAATAACCGATGTCACTGCATGGGCTCATAAATTCAGTCCACATTTCAAAACAGCAGCTAATGCTTTCTTAAAACACAGACCTCAAAATCCCTTTAGAATTGAGAGCAATTAGAAGAGAAAACATAACACCCTGTAGGTCCCCATAAGACTCTTCCTGATCTGAAAAATCGAACTGAGTCAGAGATACAGAGGCTGGACTCCTGGGGTAGGAAAATGGCTTTTCTCCTCCAGGCCCAATTCTCTCCTCTGAAACAGTTTCCTTTAAATTCAAGAAGCCATGCAGCGATGCCCCCCTGCAGGTGTTCATTTTTTAAAGGAAAGCCTGCCTGCCTGCCTCTCACTCGCCTCTGTGGTACTCACGGCAGCTGCCTTAGCTGGAATAAGTCCTCCTCCATGTCCGTGCTGCGCCTGGACGAGCCCTTTTCATGGCCCTTACATGGTAGTGGTGGATGACGAGCGAGAAGGGTTTCAGCACCAGGGTGCTGGACAGCTCCAGCGCCGCTTCCTCCCTCTGGCGGCAGCTGTTCGGGGGAGGAAGCCGCCAGGGACCAGCCCACGAGACAAAGCCGCCGCCGCCAGGAGACCGCGGCGAGAGTGGGCGGAGAGGAGGAGGGTAGAGCAAGCTGTGCGGGGAGAGGGGGCGGGGAGAGCCCTTCTGGTTAGAAGAATTTAGTCTGTGTGGCTAGTGATGTTCCAGGGGGTGCCCATTGGGCACACCAGCCTGTGAAATGGCTGTCGAGGTACCAATGAGCACTCTGGTTGACGACGCCTCTCTAAATGTTTATCTGTAGGGGCTCGTTAATGTTTTTATGGGGATAATATTCTTGAAACTCAGGCTGCCGTAACAAATGTAGAATATGAAAATAAATTTTTGTTAATATATTCATACATTAAAGTACTGTTTACTGAGCACCTGCTGTGTGCCAGGCAATGGAACGGGCACAGGGCAAATGACAGAGAACAAATTAGACATGTCACTGTCATCACCGAGCTGAAAGTCTAGTGAAACAAATCAAGAAAAATGTAGACTTCCAGTCAAGATGGCGGGGAGGTAAACGCGGTATCCCGTCCTCCCACAACCACATCAAAGTTACAACTAAACTACAGAACAACCATCATTCAAAACCGCCTGAAGTCAAGCTGAATGGAAGTCCTACAACTACGGAATTAAAGAAGCAGCCACATCAAGACGGGTAGGAGGGGTGGAGGCTAACGGGCTGGTCCCACATCCACGTGGGGCGGATAAAAATCAGGAGGACACCTGGCTGGGAAGGTCCTCCCTGAGGACTGAGGGGGTCCCCGTCCCACACAGGCCCGCAGCTCAGGGTTCCAGTGCCAGGAAAAGAATCCCCATCACTTCTGGCTGTAAAACCAGCAGGAACTGAGGCTGAGGGAGGCTGAGGCTGTGAAAGCCCCCAGGCAGCTTCTCTTAAAGGCTCACACACGGACTTACTCAGACTCGCTCCCTCTAGGCTCCAGCGTGGGGAAGGCAGCTTGAAAGGCATCAGAGACATACAGGGAAAAACTGAGCTGTTTGGCATTGGAGCGAGGGCTAGAGAGGCAGCTTTCTCCTGGACAGAGATGCTGTCAGAGGCCTTTGTTCCTTTGGTGAGCCCTTCCCTGGGGTGGCAGGTGACCACCATATCAGGGACTCCAGCAACCTGGCTCACACTATTTGCCCTGCCCTGGGGATTCCCTGAGGCCCCGCCCCACCCAACTTTCAGGCCCACCGAAGCTGTTGTCAGTTGCTTTACCATAGGATTGGCCTGTCTTGGATCCTGTTTCAGGTTTTCCTAAATTCTTTCAAACAAGCAGCATCTGGTCTCAGCTAGCCCCATACCTCTTGTTAAGTAATACAAAACAAAAAAACAAAAAAACAGGGAGACAGCCAAAATGAGAAGACAAAGAAACAGGTCCCAAATGAAAGAACAGAACAAAACCCAGGAAAATAAGTGAAATGGAGATAAACAATCTAACAGATGCAGAGTTCAAAACACTGCTTATAAGGATGCTCAATGAACTTCGTGAGAACTTAAATGAACACAATGAGGGCCTCAAGAGCATAAAAAAGGACCAGTCAGAAATGAAGGATGCACAGTAAGAAACGAAGGAGGCACTAACTGAAATAAAGAATAATTTACACAGATTCAATAGTAGAGTAGGTAAAGCCAAGAAGCAAACCATCAATTTGGAACATAAGGAAGCAAAAAACACCCAATCAGAACAGCAAAGAGAAAAAAATAATCCAGCCCTGGCCAGTTTGGCTCAGCGGTTAGAGTTTCAGCCCACGGACCAGAGTCCCGGGTTCGGTTCCCGCTAAGGGCACGTACCTCGCCCTGGCCGGTTTGGCTCAGCGGTTAGAGCGTCGGCCTGCGGTCCTGAGGGCACGTACCTCGGTTGTAGTTTGTCCCCGGACCCGGATGGGGTTGTGTGGGTGGCAACCACTCAATGTGTCTCTCTCACATCGCTGTTTCTCTCTCTCTCTCTCTTCCTCCCTCTCTCCCCCTCCCACTCTATCTGAAGATAAATGCAAAAGTGTCTTCTGGTGATGATAAAAAAAAAAAGAATCCAAAAAAATGAGGATAGTGTAAGGAGCCTCTGGGACAACTTCAAGCGTACCAACATTAGCATCTTGGGGGTGCCAGAAGGAGAAGAGAGAGAACAAGAAATCGAAAACCTATTTGAAACAATAATGGCAGAAAACTTCCCTAACTTGGTGAAGGAAAGAGACATACAAGTCCAGGAAACACAGAGAGTCCCAAACAAGATGAACTCGAAGAGGCCCACACCAAGACACATCATCATCAAAATGCAAAAGGTTCAAGAAAAAGAGAGAATCTTAAAAGCAGCAAGAGAAAAGCAATTAGTTCCCTACAAGGGAGTTCCCATAAGACTGTCAGCTGATTTCTCAAAAGAAACTTTGCAGGCCAGAAGGGAGTGGCAAGAAATATTTAGAGTGATGAAAAGCATGAATCTACAACCAAGATTACTCTATCCTGCAAAGCTGTCATTTAGAATTGATGGCCATATCAAGAGTTTCCCAGACAAGAAAAAGTTAAAGGAGTTCATCACCACCAAACCGGTATTATATGAAATGTTGAAGGGTCTTCTTGAAGAAAAAGATAAAAAATATGAACAAACAAAATGGCAATGAATACATACCTATGACAATTGAATCTAAAAACAAAATGAACATGCAGAACAAAAACATTCTCATAGATACAGAGAACATTTTGTTGGTTGCCAGATGGGAGGGGGGTGGGGGAATGGGTGAAAAAGGTGAAGAGATTAAGAAGTACAAATTGGTTATTTGACAAACCTCAAAGGGAAGGGGAAGTGGGGGGGTGGGAAGAAATAAATCAAAGAACTTATATGCATATATGCATAACCAATGGACAGACAACAGTGTGGGGAAAGGCAGGAGGGGGCCGGGAGTGGGGAGGAGGGGGTCAATAGAGGAAAAATGAGGAACATCTGTAATACATTCAACAATAAAGATAAGTTAAAAAAGAAAAGAAAAAATGTAAGGTAATTATGAGAAGGCCAAATAGCACTCATTCATTCATCCACCGAGCATTATTAAGTGATTTCTACAGCCCTGATGCTGAGGAATCAAAGATTAGTTGAACCAATCCCTGCCTTCAAAATTTTCCCCTAGTTCAGTGGGGAGTGATTGCTAATGCACGTGAGATTTCTTTTACAGAATTTCCAAAATCAGTTGCATATATTAATTGTACTAAAAACAACAACAACATTCAATTGTACACTTCAAAAGGATGAATTATATGATGTGTGAATTAAATCTCAATAAAGCTGTTCTTTTTATTTAAAAAATACTTTTAGAATTGGTTTCCAATTTTTCCAACATTTAAATAGAGAGATTTATGTAATAGAATTATTAGCTTATTGGGAAAAGGGGAGGCAGCATTTCTCCACTGTGTCTTCCTTTCTCTCTGGCCACTAGCAACTGGGGCCTCAAAACAGTCCACGCAACAGCCAGGCCATAGCAAGCTTTGCATATTTATATTTCCTGCCTGCTCTCTGGAGACTTTTGAGGTGCACCCCCTGAAAACAGGAGAAACAGTACTTAGTACATAATAGGCATTGAAAAAAACTTAGAGAATTAAATTAATATGTAACATTTTAATTAATTTATAAAATGTAATGTTTTCTCTTCTTTCTTGGAAATGCAGTTATATTTTTCTAAAGCAGTGGTTTTTCACCTTTGAGTGTGGGTCAGCATCCCCCAGAGGGCTTGTTAATACACAAATAGCTGGGCCCTACTCCCTGAGTTCTCATTCAGCAGGTCTGGAGTGAGGCCTGCATCTGCAGTTCTAACAGGGTCCCAGGTGATAATGATGCTGCTGAGAATTGAGAATCCCTGTTCTAAAGTTACATCTGGATGATATTATCAGCTAAGAAAAATATGGCTCATATTTTTATACCTCTGATCTTTGAGACATCCTTGGGCAGATAGGAATATTATAAAGGCAGTTGCCTCCAGCTAACCACATTATCCATCTGTCTGGGAAATGGAGCATGCCAAAAGCCAGATGGGTTTTATTTCACATCGGTGTAATGCACCATGATTTCCCCCCTTAGATGATTTTTTTTAAGTGACTATTTTAAAACAGAGGCTGGCACCCTGGCCCGGTGGCTCACTTAGTTGGAGCATCATCCTGTATACCAAAAAGGTTGTGGGTTCAATTCACAGTCAGCGCACATACCTAGGTTGCAGGTTCAATCCCCAGTCGGGGCATGTACAGGAGGCAATCGATCGATGTTTTTCTCACATTACTGTTTCTCTCTCTTCCTCTCTCACATCAATAAAAAAAATTTCACTGGGTGAGGATTTTTAAAAAATTAAAATAGAGGCTGGAATAGAGACTGACAAGCTGCCCCATAGCCTGAAATACTGAATATAAAAAGCATGTGCTTGCTATGTACACGTGGTTCTCCAATCCAATGAGCTTGTTTGTTTTTTTTTTAATCCTCACCTGAGGATACTTTTTTTTTTTTATCCTCACCCGAGGATATTTTTCCATTTTTTGTACAGATAGAGTGGGAGGGAGAGAGAGGAAGGGAGAGAGAGAGAGAAACATCGATGTGAAGGGACACATCGAGTGGCTGCCACCCGCACGACCAACCAGGGCCGGGGACAAACTGCAACCGAGATACGTGCCCTTAGCGGGAACCGAACCTGGGTCTCTCTGGACCGCAGGCCGACGCTCTAACCGCTGAGCCAAACTGGCCAGGGCCCTGAGGATACTTTTTTACATTAATCTTCAGATAGAGCTGGAGGGAGGGAGAGAGAAACATCGACGTGAGAAAGATACATCAACTGGCTGTCACCCGCACAACCCCAACTGGGGCCAGGGACAAACCGCAACCAAGGCACATGCCCTTGGCTGGAATCAAACCTGGGACAGTTTGGTCCGCGGGTGATGCTCCTACTGCTGAGCCATACCAGCCAGGGCTCCACTGAGTTTTAAAACCTATTTTTATCATGACATTATTCTACTAGTTATAAAAATGGTGCCTAATTTTAAAAAGTAAGCCCATGGGTTTAAATTCATAAAGAGACTTGTCCCTCTTCTTTTGAGATCTGACATTGGATAAAAGACCAAAAGGGAAAACTAAAACTTTGGTGATAGATCTCTGCTCTGCTAGCCATGCTGGTGGGATGGCACTGCCACCTGGAGTCACTCCCAAGTCCCTGGCATTGTGCTGGGAGGTGTAAGTACCTCCTGACTTTACCATAGGAACCAGCAGAAACGGGAGGCTTGGCTAGGAGGTTAAGACCTTGTTAAAAAAAAAATGTCAAGGCATCCTGGCTAGGTGGGTCATTTGGTTGGAATGTCCACCCGTGCACCAAAAAGATTTTGGGTTCTATCCCCAGTCAGGGCGCATAGAGGAGGCAACCAATCAATGTTTTCTTGCATGGATGTTTTGACATTTCTTTCTCTCTTCCCCGTCCTCTCTCTCTAAAATCAATAAAAACATATCCTCAGGTGGAGGTAAAAATAAATAAATTTTTAAAATGTCAAGGCATACAACTTCAAAGAGTACTTTGGTAACATGTCCCATTCTGCCGTGAAATACAAGATGTTTAATCTATGACCAGAGAGGGCAGAGAGAAAATCTGTGCAGCTGGCTTGAGAGGCAAACTCTGAAACTCTCCTAATGAAACTGATTCCTCAGACAATGTTTCTGGAGGGATGTAAAATCAGCAAGGGGTTGAGGTGAATCAGTAGCCAGTAAACCTATTGAGATATAGTGAAGAGGTTATGAAGCAGTAGTAGTTCAAGATGTCTTGTCATTGAAGAAATGCTGATCTTCTCTCCACAATATTGTGTTGTTTTTTTATTTTCATTCAAAGTATTTAAAATTTATCTTGTTGACCCATTATTTTTTATCAACCCATTGATTATTTAAGAATGTGTTGTGTAATTTCAACATTTTTGTGAACTTCCCAAATTTCCTTCTGTTATTGAGCTCTAATTTTATTCCATGTGGTCAGAGAACATACTTGGTATTTTGACTTTTAAATTTCTTGAGACTTGTTTTACAGCCTAACATATGTTTTATCTTGGAGAACATTCCTTGTCCACTTGAGAAGAAAATTAGATCTAGTTGGTCTATCATGTTCCTCAAGGCTTCTCTTTCTTTGCTGATCTGTCTGGTTGTTTTATTCCTTATTGAAAGTGGGATATTGAAGTCTCCAAATATTATTCTTGAATTGTCTATTTCTGTCCTATTTTTCTTCATGTATTTTGGGGCTCTGTTGTGAATGCATGTCTGCTAGCAATTGTTATATCTTCTTAGTGGCTTGACCCTTTTAACATTATAAAATCTCCTTATTTGTCGCTAGTAACAATTTTTGTCTTACAGTCTTTGTCTGTTGATAGTATAGTTATACCTGCTGTTTTTGATTACTGTTTGCACAGCAAAACTTCCCCCACCTTTTTACTTTTCACCTATTTGTGTCTTTGAATGTAAAAAAAGGCTTTTATAGCCTGGCTGGTGTGGCTCAGTGGTTGAGCGTTATCCCATGCACCAAGGGGGTCTCCAGTTCAATTCCGGTCAGGGCACATGCCCCCGGTTGAGGGCTCCATACGATAGATGTTTCTTTCTATCTCTGTCTCTCTCTCTCCCTCTCACTTCCTTTCTAAAAGCCAATAAAAACATATTTTAAAATAAAATAAAATAAGGCTTTTGTAGACATATAGTCAGATTTGCCGTTCTGCAAATCTCTGGCTTTTAATTGGAGAGTTTAATTCATTTCAATTTAATGTAATCACAGATTATATAGAATTTACATTGCTATTGTACTATTATTTTCAGTCTTATGTCTATATTGTTCCTCAATTCTTCCACTCCTGCCTTTTGTATTTAATATGTATTTTCTAGTGTACCACTTTAATTCCCTTGTCATTTCTTTTACTATACATTTTTTAGTTATTTTCTTCGTGGTTACATTGGAGATGACCATTAATATCTCAATTTGAAACTATCTAGTTTGGATTAATACCAACTTAGTTTCAATAGTATACAAAAACTTTGCTTTTGTCCTGGCTAGTTTGGCTCAGTGTTTAGAGCATGGGCTGTGGACCAGAGTCCAGGTTCGATTACGGTCAAGGGCATGTACCTTGGTTGCACTGGAGTCGTGCAGGAGGCAACCAATCAATGTGTCTCTCTCACACTGATGTTTCTCTCTCCCTCCCACTCTGAAGTGGAAAAAATGTCCTCATGTGAGGATTAAAACACAAAACAAAAAACTTTGCTTTAAAGTTTATAGAAAACTTTATATATCTCCATTTCTCCCCCCTTTTAAGCTTTTATTGTCACAAATAACATTTTATGCATTGTGTGCCCATCAACATATATTTATAATTATTGCTTTATGCTGTTTTTTTTCAAATCAGGTGAAAGACAAACAAAAAATGACTTTTCTATGTTCTTTATTTACCTATACTGACACCTTTACTGAAGCTCTTTATGTCTTCTCGTGGTTTTGAGTTAGTCTAGTGTATTTGCATTTTAGTCTGAAGGAGTCTCTTTAGTATTTCTTGTAAAGAAAGTCACTATTGACAAATATTAGTGTTTGCTTATCTGGGAATGTCTTAATTTCGCCTTCATTTTTATGTATTTATTTTATAGTCCCACTTTATTATTTTTTTTAATTGTTGAAAGTATTTCAGAGGTCCCCCCTTTTTTCCTCCATTGATCCCCTACTCCCCGCTCCCACCCGCCTCCCGCCTTCATTTTTAAAGGATAGTTTTTCCAGATACAGAACTCTTCATACCAAAAAGATTAAAATGACACGGGCCCCCTCCTGGAAGTGGGGTATCTGTATTCATGAACGTAGCCCTGGCAAAACCTGAAAACAAGTCGTTCCCCCGCCGCAGAGCATCCTCTAGCAACCGACGCCAGGGCCCTAACTACCCGGGAAAAAGAAAAACAGGAAGTGGTGCGTCGGCTTTTCCTCTCCGGCCGCGGCTGCTTCCGGTCGTCCGGGGAGCCTGTCCTTCAGGCTTTCCTTCCCCGAAGAGCTGGGACTTGAACTGCAGGTTCCGCCGCCGCGGGAGCCCTCGGAGACTTCTGCCGGTCGGCGGCGGGGGTGGCGGGGGCGGCGGAGACCGCGGGGACGGCGGCGGGCCTTCCGCGCGGCCGCGATGCTGAGCTCCCGGGCCCAGGCGGCCATGAGCGCGGCCGACAGGGCCATCCAGCGCTTCCTGCGGACTGGGGCGGCCGTCAGGTGAGCTTTGGGGGGCGGGGCGGCCGGAGAGGCCAGGGACAAAGTCCCCAGCTTGGGCCTCTGGCGGCGCTTTCACGTCCTCGTCAGGGTCCCCGGGGGCCGCAGGAAGCATTCTGCGTCCTGCGGGGTTGGAGGCCCCGGCCCGGAGGCGGGAGGGGCGACGGGCCTCCAGGGCTTCGGCAGCGCCAGTTCTGTCTGCACTCCCCAGTTCTACTCGCGCCCCAGATTTGATCAGTAGCCCCACCACGCATGCCAGTGCCCCCGCCAGTCCTGTCATTATCCTGGGACTTCTAGGGACCCTCAGGCTTGTCAAGGCTCCGAATTCTGTCAATGCCCCTGGTACCTCTCAGTGCTCACAGGCCTTCCAGGAGCCCTTAATCCTTTTAGGGTACCCCCAGTCCTTATAGGATCCCGCCATGTCAGTTCCTGGCCTGCCAGGGTTCCCCATTCTGATCAAGCTCGCCAGCCCTGCCGTGGTTCTCAATCCTATAAAGTGCCTGGGGCCCCTTAGTCCCCCCCCATTCCTGTCAGTCCCCCTTCCAGTTATGCTAGGGATTGCCTATTCTGTCTGGGTCCCCAATCTTATTAATTCATTAGTTTGCAAGGGTCCCTAAACCCGTCAGGACCCCTGTACCTGTTAAAGCTCCCAGTCCTACTAAGGTCCTCCATTCCTGCTAGGACCACCCCACTCCCAATAGTATTGTCCCCAATTGTCAGGGCCACTGTTTCCCTTCTCTGATGCACCCTCCATGGGCTGCAAGCTTCGGAGCTGAGCACTGCGCCTTCATTACTGTCCCCAAGTGACCAAGACCTGTTGTTCTGGTCAGCTTCCCTCCTCTGGAACTGGAGCAGGTCAGAGAACTTGTTATCCCAGGCTGGAAGCCATCAGTGGCCATCCTGTCCAGTGCCCCCATTCTGTAGGCGTCTTGAGACGGCCTTGCCTATGGTCCTACAGCTGATCTGATAGCAGAGCTGGGAGGAGAAGCCAGATCCTTCAGTCCCAGGGCACATATTCTTCTCTTGTTCTCACTTTGCAGAGGAATGGCATTTCCAAAGTCACTACTTGCCCCTGGGTTTTTTGTCCATGCCCTAAGGACATGGCCAGTTCTCTTTCCCACTCCTTCAGCACTCTTTTCCTCGTGAGCTTTGTGGTTTTAAGCACAGGCTTGGCAGCCTGACAGGCTGAAGTTCAGATCCACACTGCCTCACCCACTTGGACCAAGATCACTATGACTCGTAATTTCCTCATCTGTGCATATGGAGATGATAATGGGACCTAGCTCCGTGGGATTGTTTTGAGGATGAGCTAAGATTATTACGGTGCCCGACATAGGGAAATGTTAGTGTTTGAATAGGGGGTTTGACAACATATGTATAAGTGCTTCACCATTTCAGTGATGGTCTTTTTTCATCTTTCCAGGCACTTTTGTGAATACACGTATTATATAAAAGTCAGCACAGTGATGCATTAAGAAACTAAGAATAATTTTTATAAATAAACTAAGGTTATAATAGTTAATAATCACAGCAGCTAACATTTACTAAGCTCTTACTATGTACCATATGCATTAGTGCTTGTCTTATCCTCACCAGAAGCCTATGAGGTAGGTCTCATGAATGTCCCCATTTTACAGATTAGGAAGCTGAAACTCAGAAGGTGAAATGATACTCTAGGGAATAGCAGAGCCAGAATTGGACCAGATTAATGCGATTCCACTTTCTTAACCAAGTTCTGTGCACTACTGACTCTGCTTGGGAAAACAAAGATTTACTTGAAATTCAGTTATCAGTTTTGAATCTTATTAATGTGACACTAGAAAAATGTTGGTAATTCTAAGATAAGAGTCCCTAGTATCACCAGTAGCTAAGATAAAAACAATATTTACAAGATCCAAATACTGGGATAAGAATATATTACACACATATCTAATACACATATGCATATATTTACATATATATATATATATATACATATATACACATATATATGGTTTGCTTTATTCAGTTGGAAATGCATAACTTTGTATAAAAATAGTGTTTTAAATTGCTGGTGAAATTTCTATATGTTTAGTAAAAGAATAACTTCAGTGTTCCAGACAAGCCTAAAATTAATAACCTTTAATGAATACTTAGAAGATCTTACATACTATCCTGTGGCCCTTCATTAGTACTCTAAAAGATATATCCATTTCTATGTTTTCTCCAATACGCAACCATTCAGTGGATATTATTGAGAAGTTACTCGGTGTGAAGTATGATCTAGACACTTGGGATGTGTTGATGAGTAAATAGACAGAGATCAGTGCCCTGAGGGATTCTGCATTCCATTTGAGGGAGATAGACAATAAACAGAGTGAATAAGTGGATTTTATATTAGAAGGTGAAAAGAAAAAGTAAAACCGGATGAAAGGGACCAGGAGTGCAGGTGCTAACAGTTTGTTAGAAGTGAAGGGGGAGTGAGGCAGTGAGCCAAGCAGTGATCTGGGGGAAGAGCATACCTAGCAGAGGGAGCAGCAGTGCAAAGGCCCTGAGACGGGCGTGTGACAGCCGGTGTGGTGGTGGAGTGAGAGGCAGAGTAGGAGGAAACTGGCTTCTCTGAGTGAGATGGGACTTTTGGAATGTTGTGCTCTGACTTAGGTTTTAAATCCTAAATGTGCTGATTTTAAGACATAATCCTATGCTGCATATTACTTTAACTGGAAAGGTAGGTATTTGGTGGGCTGGTGGATAATTTTGACGAAATGTTACTTCTTCATATATACACATAATGTGCTTGTGATGAGGGAAGACAGTAAACTGATTTTCTTTTTTAGATATAAAGTCATGAAGAACTGGGGTGTTATAGGTGGACTCGCCGCTGCTCTTGCAGCAGGGATATATGTTATTTGGGGTCCTATCACAGAAAGAAAGAAGCGTAGAAAAGGTAAGAGGGAGGCCATGGCATCATGGTCCGTAGACTTGATCCAAACCCTTATTTCCCAAAAACAGTACAAAAAGAGGAGGGAAGTTTTGGCTCTCTTGTATCTTCAGGTTTTGAATGGTACTTTCTTTCCAACAGAAGTTAACTTTTTTTGCATCCTGTCAGTTATGACTCTAGGAAAATGTTGGTAGTTGTAAGAGAGAGTCCCTAGTATCACCAGCAGGTGAGATCAAAACAATATTTATATGATCCAGGTTTTATACCTTGTAGTAAAAGGATTTGCATTTTACCTCAAGTCCTGGGTTTGACACATGCTTTGCAATGAAAAATTTAAGTGTAAGCTTAATTGCCTAGTGTTCTCATTAATACGGCAGTTTTCTTTTTTAGTAGAACAACCGACTCATTATGTGATGCATTTGTGGTTTCACTAGCTGGTAGTCACTAGTAAATGTTTCAAATTAGTTTCTTTATTAATACAAAAATGTATTTCCTTATTTTTAAAATCATGTCCTTTTGTAAATGTTGCTCTACTTATATTGATCAAAAGTCAGCCTTTTTTTGGGGGGGGGGGTAGATGTAGCAAAATGTTGATCATTGTTAAATCTGAGGATGGTTATAATTAGAGTTTATTATATACCCTCTCTTTTTTTGTGCATGTTTGAGAACTTGCATAATAAAAGGTTTTCAAAAATCTCAGCAGAAGAGGAAAGTATGTCAGATTTTGTTGATCTCTTTGCAGAAAGACCAAATTGCTGTAGTGTCCTTCCCACTGATTATAAGAACAAAATCATTGTCTTGGGAGCAACAACAGAACAATTGTTTTCTTCTGTGCTGAGAAACATCGCTTTCTTATCAAAGGAGAGAGCGAATGAGGGAGGGAAAGAGAATGAGGGAGAGAAAGAGAAGGATGTTACTATGTGTTTTTTTGTACATTCAGTGTAAACCAAACTGTACCAGACACTGGTGGGTTTCAAAAGTAGCACACAATGGGGACCCGTCCTTCTGTCGCTACAGTCTCCTGAAGGAACAGTATTAGGTCAGGGCCTCAGCATGGGCAGAATGCCTGGTTCCAGATCTCTGGATAAGGACTTTCTCACATTCGGACTTCAAATTCAAGGCTACGGTGCAGACACTCTGGGTCGCTCATGGGAGAGAATGAAAGAGTTGGTCCGATATGATTTGCTGTTCTCATCCCTGTCCCACTTTTTCTAGGGCTTGTGCCTGGCCTTGTCAACTTGGGGAACACCTGCTTCATGAACTCCCTGCTGCAAGGCCTGTCTGCCTGCCCCGCTTTCATCAAGTGGCTGGAAGAGTTCACCACCCAGTACACCGGGGATCAGTTGGAGCCCCCGCAACACCAGTATTTATCCTTAACACTGCTGCACCTCCTGAAAGGTATCTAGCTGGGAATTTCAGGGGGACTGTGTGCATTTTCAGAGCAGCAGCCCAGATGACAAAGGGTTAATAGCCTCTGTGTAGAAAAAGATCCTACAGATCATTATGGGAAAAACACATTAAGAGCTCAATAGATACAAACAGCTACAATAAAAAAAGAAATCAAATATTTATCAACTATTTTACAAATTATCAGTTTAGTAACAGATTTCTAGGGAAGAAGAAAACCCACTGCAACATTACCATTTTGATTATAGAATACTCTGGTTTCAGAAACATTTAGGTTTTTTTTTATTGGAAGGTAATTCACAAAAGAAATAATACAAATTGTATACTAATAGATACAAAGTGTATCTAACAGACACTCAAATGTTGAACTTAAGTGTCACCAAGAAATACAAATAAAATAATAGGCCCTGGCCAGTTTGGCTCAGCGGTTAGAGCGTCGGCCTGCGGTCCAGAGAGACCCGGGTTCGGTTCCCGCTAGGGGCGCGTAGCTCGATTGCAGTTTGTCCCCAGCCCTGGTTGGGTCGTGGGGGTAGCAACCACTCGATGTGTCCTTTTCACGTCGATGTTTCTCTCTCTCTCTCTCTCTCTTCCTCTCTCTCCCTCCCACTCTGTCTGAAGAAAAAATGGGAAAATGTCCTCGGGTAAGGATAAAAAATAAAAATAAAAAAATAATAGTGAGGCACCATGTTTTTTTTTCCTTTCAGCAAGGATTGGAAAACATCCACAATCATGACCAGCTTTTGGATGACATGTTCACACACACTGGTGGGGGTGGAGAGAGTAACTTTCAGAAAAGCAGTTTGGGACTACATAGCTATGGCTTGTCAAATGTTCTGTACCATTTGACTTCGTAATGCCTTGTCTGGGGTCCTTCTTATGGAAGTAGTTAGAAATGTGGACTAGGATTTATACTAGCCTGACGTGGAGTTCACAATATATGTGGGATTTTAAGAAGCCACTAGTCTAACTTCTTTTTTTTTATCCTCACTCGAGGACATTTTTTTCCATTTTTTTTTTTGCACAGATAGAGTAGGAGGGAGAGAGAGGAAGAGAGAGAGGGAGAGAGAGAGAGAGAAACATTGACGTGAAAGGGACACATCGAGTGGCTGCCACCCACACGACCAACCAGCGCCGGGGACAAACTGCAACTGAGGTACATGCCCCCAGCGGGAACCGAACCCGGGTCTCTCCGGACCGCAGGCCGATGCTCTAACCGCTGAGCCAAACCGGCCAGGGCTAACTTCATTTTTTTAAAAATTTATTGTCTTTATTGATTTTAAGGAGAGGGAGAGAGAGAGAGAAACATCGATGAGAGAGAACATCGATTGGCCACCTCCTGCAAGCCCCGCAGTGAGGATCGGGCCTAGAACCTGGGCACGTGCCCTGACCAGGAATTGAACCGGCGACCTTTTTGTGCATGGATCGACACTCAGCCACTGAGCCACACCAGCTGGGCCTAACTTCATTTTTAAACTACTGTTTTTGACTGCAGAGCGGTTCCCGCTCCTACCCACCACATTAACATTTGTTAAAATCCTGGGGACATGCAACAGCACACAATTTGGAAAATGCTGCTATACGCACAAAGATCTTCAACACCTACTTATAATGGGGTGGGGGAGGAGAGAATGTGGTTGTCCAACTGTAGAATGATTAAGCGCCATTCAGAATCAACTTGATGAAGTCTTTTTTTTTCTAATTTGGGACAGGGCATGAGCTATAATATTAAGTTTAAAAGAGCAGTCTGTAATGCTGCAATGAACATAGGGGTGCATATGTTTTTTCGATTTAGTGTTATGGATTTCTTCAGATAAATACCCAGAGCTGGAACTGCTGGGTCTGTCTTTGTCTCTTGTTAATAGCCTTTGTTTTAAAGTCTATTTTGTCAGAAATAAGTATTACTACCCCTGCTTTTTGTTTGTTTGTTTGTTTCCATTTGCATGAACTATCTTTTTCCATATCTTTACTTTCAGTCTGTGTGTGTCTTTCGCTCCGAAGTGGGTCTCTTGTAGGAAGGCTGTGTATGGGTTTTGTTTTCTTATCCATTCTGCTACCCTGTCTTTTGATTGGTACATTAATCCATTTACATTCAAAGTAATTCTCGATAGGTATGTAGTTATTGCCATTTTATTATTCATGTTTTTTATTTCTTCTCCTCCTTCTAAGTCCCTTTAACATCTCTTGTAATACTGTTTTGGTGGTAATGAACTCCTTCAGCTTTTTCTTGTCTGGGAAGCTCTTTCTCATCTTCTGTTCTTAGGTCCTTGCTTTTCATCACTTTGAGTATTTTGTGCCAATCCCTTCTGGCCTGAAAGCCCATCAGACTTTTATTTTTGTTTATTAGGCTTGATTCTACTTATGATTGAAAAGTAAACAACTTAGCAGACCTATTTAAGCTGCCATGTGTAGCTTGATGCTTTGCCATGGTAACCAGAAACCCACTCACGTGCAGACAAATACTAGCAAAGGCCTTGTGACTATGGAGAGGAGTTAAGCACTGAGTATGGGGTTGGACTAGATGAGTGTTTAAGGATCCTCCCATCCCTGAGAGTTGTGAGTTAGAATTATTTTATTCAGTAAGAATCTTGCAACATTAAATTTATGTTGGTGATAATTGAGATAACTGAAAAGCAGTTGTTTTATTTAAATGCCGCAGCCTTATGAAAAATTACATTCATTCAACAAAGTGCCTAATAGTGTACTAAGGTTACAAGGGAGAATGATAAAAGAGATACAATTCCAAGGAGAACTTTACAGAATTCTTAATTAGCTTTGATAAGTTGTGCTGTGGGGTTTCCTGGTTGTTATGCTGGTGAATTTAATAACTGTGTTACCTCTTTTGTTTCCAGCTTTATCCTGCCAAGAAGTGACTGATGATGAGGTCTTGGATGCAAGCTGCTTGTTGGATGTCTTAAGAATGTACAGGTGGCAGATCTCCTCATTTGAAGAACAGGTGCACACAACATTCAAAACAGGTTTACTTAGAGAATCCTTCCCACTAATGAGTTGGGGTCTGAGCTCACATTGCTGCAGTGGGAAGAATGGATGTCAGTGTTGGCCTTGCAGTTGCCTAGCCTAAAGCTGGAAACAGAAAAGGTAACACAGTTACTAAGTTCACCAGCATTTCTGTGACATTATAGACAGCCTTCCTGTTCTGGGCTAGATTAGAGCTTTGTTCCTGCCTTTGTGATCAGAGGGGAAATGCAGCTTTTTCTCCTGATGGATGGAAGAAAGGTTAGCAGGATAGGGGATAAACACAGTTGCCAAAGAGCAAAAATCTTTTTCGTTCTTGAGAGAGTTTGCACTTTACTGGACGATAGGGCAGCTGGGTCCTTTAGAGAGAGGCAGGCAACTTCACTAGGGGCTCAGAGGTTCCGGCAAGGCCCTGTTTAGAACCACGCCCTCATTTAAAAAAAATAAAACAGCCTTCAGAGTCTGGCTTAAAGTGGCCCCAGACTGGGAGCCATCTGTTTTGTGCACCCCAGGGCCTTGTTCCAGCCACTTCCTCTTCCTTGTCCGCAAATACAGCTTCACCGTCTTCTTTGGTATTGGCCACCTTCCTCCTCCTCCCAGACCAATGGCAAGTCTGAGGCCAAGGCTGACACAGATGAGTGCTAGGGACCAAAAATTTAGTGCCCATCTTCACTGGCCACATGTCCAGGATAGCCTGTCCAGTTTTGTGTTGGCTGCTTCTGCCTGCATCATCCTGGTTCTGGACCCAGGAAATGGGAGCTGGCCTTTGGGTTCCCAAAACTCTGGGGCTGAGAAGAAAAGCATTTCAAAGCTCTAAAAAGTGAGGTGGGAAGGCTTTCTAGCTTCACTTATTTTTAAAGATAATCTGTTTCCACTTTACTCTGAGGCCTTGTATGTGTTACTTTTTAAACATGACATTGATGCCCTGGCCGGTTTGGCTCAGCGGTTGGAGCGCCGGCCTGCGGTACAGAGAGAGCCGGGTTCGATTCCCGCTAAGGGCATGTACCTCGGTTGCAGTTTGTCCCCGGCCGTGGTTGGTTGTGCGGGTGGCAGCCACTCGATGTGTCCCTTCACATTGATATTTCTCTCTCTCTCTCTTCCTCTCTCCCTCCCGCTCTATCTGGATAAAAAATGGAAAAATGTCCTCGGGTGAGGATAAAAAAAACAAAACAAAAAACAAAAACATGACATTGATGATGTCTGTACTTTCTTTTTTTTTTTTTTGAATCCTCACCCAAGGATATTTTTCCATTTATCTCCAGACAAAGTGAGAGAGAGAGAGAGAGAGAGACATCAATGTGAGAAAAAGACATCGACTGGCTGCCTCCCACACGACCCGACCAGGGCCAGGGACCGAACCGCAACCGAGGTACGTGCCCTTGACCAGAATCGAACCTGTGACTCTTTGGTCCGCGGGCCAACACTCTAACCAGCACTGAGCCAAACCGGCCAGGGCAGTGTCGTACTTTCTTACAGTGTACCTCAATTAATCCACTGTATGGTGTGAAATATTTTTTCATCTAGAAAGTACTTTTAAAATCTTCCTCTAACTGGAATTATTTAGTGGCATCTTTCATTTCTCCAAACTGAGAGGTAGTCCCCAAGGACATTAGATAGCTCCCCAAAGTCCTGCTCTCTGTCAGGGGTCCATTGAAGTCCCAGTTACTCCTTGGAAGTATTTCCATCTTTAGCACACAGCAGTCGCTGAGCCAGGTAGTGCTATTGTGTGTGTGTGTGTGTGTGTGTGTGTGTGTGTGTAAAAGAGCCGAGTATGTCTGTCCTCCCCTTCGAAGGCATTCAGAGCATCTAGTACGGGCTCTTGTCCACATCGCGATCACTATTAATCTAGTCACAGCAGCAGACTTCCACTCACCCGCCTTTCAGCGTCTGCAGTAGAGCTGTGGGAGATGCACTGGGTGAGTGCTTGCTTCTTGTGAGTTGTCTGAGATTTGCTCCTCACAACAACCCTGTAAGGAGTTACTGTGATTATTCCCATTTTACAGATGAGAACACAGGTCCAGAGAAGTGAAGTAACTTGCCCAAAGCCACACAGCTATTCCTAAAAAATGTTTTTCTTTATTTATTTTAGAGAAAGAGGAAGGGAGAGAGAGAGAGAAACACCAATGAGACAGAACATCGATTGGCCGCCTCCTGCATGTCCCCCACTGGGGATTGGGCCACAACCTGGGCATGTGCCCTGACCGGGAGTCGAACTGGCAACCTCCTGGTGCATGGGTCGACGCTCAACCACTGAACCACAGCGGTCGGGCCCATTGTCACCTCTATTTAAAGAAAAGGAAAAAAAGGACTAGGGCACAGTGAATGATGGGAGAGGAGAAGGGATTGAGTTGATCCTTAAAGAGTCGTCCCCCTGCCATGATACAGCAATTCCACCTCTGAGCACATACCCAGAATAATTGAAAGCAGGAACTCAAACAGATATTTGTACACCTGTGTTCATAGCAATATTATTTGTAATAGCCAAGAGGTGGAAGTAAGCCAAGTGACTGCTTATCAACAGATGAATGGATAAACAAAATGTGTGTGTGTGTGTACACACATATATGTATATGTGTGTCTATATACACACAATGGAATATGTGTGTATATATATACACACACACAATGGAATTTTATTCATTCTTAAAAGAAGGAAATTCTGACACATGCTATAACATGGATGAACCTTGACATTATACTAAGTGCAATAGGCCAGTCACAAAAGGACAAATACCGTATGAGTCTGCGTACTCGAGGTTCCTAGAGCAGCCAAATTCACAGCGGCAGAAAGCAGAATGGTGACCTCCAGGGACGGGAGGGGACAGGGAAATGAGTTAGTGTTTAATAGGCACGGAGTTAGTTTGGGAAGGTCATTCTGAAGATGGATGGTGCTCATGGTAGCGCAACAGTGTGATATACTTAACACTAGGCAAACATGGTGAAAGTGGCGAAATCTGTGTATTTTCCCACAATGAAAAGAGTAGTCAAGTTGAGTGGAGGTCGGGGCCATCCCGATAAAGCTAAACAGGCTCAGAGAAGCTAGTAGGAAGGCAGCCACCAACCTTCTTTCCTTCTCTCTCCCCTCGGGGCTCCCAGTGCAGGGTTTTTATTGTGAAAATGTTGGACGGACGGTTTCCGTTTAGTGAGCTGGGCCTGAGAAGGTGAAAAGCAAATCCTGCCCACATTAGCTGGAGGGAGACTGCCCAGGGGTCCCCACAGGGTGGTTCAGATGCTGCCCTGGCCTCCTGGGCCTCTCTGAAGATGCTTTACCCTTTGGCAGGATGCCCACGAGTTGTTCCACGTCATCACCTCGTCATTGGAAGATGAGCGGGACCGCCAGCCCCGGGTCACACACTTGTTTGATGTGCATTCCTTGGAGGTAAACCATTAATATTCCCAATACATTGAATGCAGTTCGTGCATGTTTAATAGGTGTAGGGACCACAAGCATAATTTTTGTACAACTTTGAACTCACAAGTCAGATTCAGCAACAGTCGGCAGCGGGGGTGGGTCTAGGCGAGGGTGTTAAACTGCATACTTTGCAGATGGTGACTTGGAAGACTCCAGAATGATTCGTGGCTGCAATTTGTATTGGCTTGAAAAAGAAAAATGTGTTTTCCCCCCTATTTAATACAGGGGAGCACAGAGCCCTGGGAATGCTAAATGAATCTCCATTTCCCTGGAACATTATAAAAGTTAACTAGCAGAGGGAAGGGGGCAATATTCTGGAGAGAGGAATGTGCTTTGACTGCACGTGATGAAGGAACAGGCACAGTAACAACCAGAGAGGAGAATGAAGGCTCCCTCTATTTATTTATTTTTTTATCCTCACTCGAGGACATTTTTCCATTTTTTGTTCAGATAGTGTGGGAGGGAGAGAGAGGGAGAGAGAGAGAGAGAAACATCAGCATGAAAGGGACACATCGAGTGGCTGCCACCCACACGACCAACCAGGGCTGGAGACAAACTGCAACCAAGGTACATGCCCTTAGCGGGAACCGAACCCGGGTCTCTCTGGACCGATGCTCTAGCCGCTGAGCCAAACCAGCCAGGGCTGAAGGCTCCTTTTAGAAACCTTTGTTGAAAGTTGGTTTGATGGCGCAGTCAGCACAGAAACGTGTAAGATGCCGGAGTGAGGTGAAGGTGATAAAAAGATTTCAGTAGGGTTTTCAGTCTGTTTCTTTTTTTCCCCCTACAGCAGCAGCCGGAAATAACTCCCAAGCAAATAACCTGCCGCACAAGAGGTAGTCATTTTCCTTTGGTCCATGGGTTTTTGTTTTTTGTTTTTCAGACAGTGTGGGAGGGAGAGAGAGGGACAGAGAGACAGAGAAACATTGATGTGAGAAAGACACATCGATCGGTTGCCTCCTGCACAACCCTGACCAGGGCTGGGGACTGAACCGCAACTGCAGTACGTGCCCTTGCCCGGAATTGAACTCACAACTCTTTGGTCTGGAGGCCGACACTCTAACCTCTGAGCCGAAACCGGCCAGGGCTAGGTAGTCATTTTCCATTGAACATACAAGATGGGTACTTTTTAGATATGACAGTAATTTGCTTGTTAGAAAACTTTTTTTAAAATATCTAATCTGGCTTGAATTTTGTGTACTTGCAAAGGAATTTGTGTTTTGGAAACAGCTTGAAATTGTTCCCTTGGTGAGCTCACACCTTCGCCTGCTCAGTTTCCTCCAAAGGGACTTATTTCTACTACAAACAAGAGTTTTCTTTTTACCTTCTTGAAGTGGTCCTGTGAGGAACTTAAGAGGAAACTCACGTTCTCAGCATTTCCACCGTGGCCAACTTTTACTGCAGATGATCACAGTCCTCCTCAGAAGGAAATCATTGTTTTCTTAGGGCTTAGACTTAAAAAAAAGAAGAACACATCCATTCTTTTGTGCATTAGTAGCAATAAGAATGATTATCTTTGGAGCCTGTACTATGTGCCAGGCACTATATTATCCCATTTAACTCTCACAACAACTCTATGAAGTTGATAATACTGCGGATAGTGGGACAGTAATTATCCCCACTTCCAGCAAACCGAGGCTTATAGGGATGAAGTGATTTCTCGGATTACATAGCTAATAAGCAGCCAAGCCAGCCCAAGCCCAGGGCCACCAGACTCTAGGGCCTGGGTTTCTCACTCGCGTACCACACACACTGTGCTTATTGCACCGACCCCCATTCTATCCCCCCCCCCAAAAGAAAGTTTTTCAGAACCTGCTTATTCTGATGACATTTCAGAAGTTTATCCTACTTTGTTCAGTGCTCACTTATGGTACCCTTCTCTTCACACCTCCGACATCTGAAGCTTATGTTTATGAAAAGACATTACTAAACACAAACTCCTTTTTTATCTGTGGCTGTGCCCATTATACAGAAACCACATTTAAGGACCTATGTAAGTTCTCCTGTAAAGGGAACGGCTGGCCTTTTTGATGGAGGTCATTAAGAAAAGCTATTTCAATTTCATTTTCAAGGGCAGTTTTTCTAAAGAAGGAGTTGCTGCCCCGTGCTAAAAAGGAGGGTGAGTTTTGAGGCTGGTGCAAGGGGGCTAGAGGTGGCAAATCAAACGGTGTTTTGTGTTCCAGGGGCACCTCATCCCACGTCCAGTCACTGGAAATCTCAGCACCCTTTCCACGGAAGACTTACCAGTAACATGGTCTGCAAACACTGTGAACACCAGGTAAATGCAATACCACTGTTTTATATCTTCTTGGGAGGTTTTCTTTCTTTCTTTCTTTCTTTCTTTCTTTCTTTCTTTCTTTCTTTCTTTCTTTCTTTCTTTCTCTGTTTTTATTGGATTTTAGAGAGAGAGAAAGGGAGCGAGAGAGAGAGAAACATCGACGTGAGAGAAACATCAATCGGCTGCCTCCTGCACACCCCCTTCTGGGATTGAGCCTGCAACCAGGGCACATGCCATGACTGGGGATCAAACTGGGACCTCTCTCAGTCCATGGGCCGACGCTCAGTCCACTGAGCCACACCAACAGGGTGGGAGGTTTTTTTTTAAGTTAAGATTCATGAAGAATCAAGAGAGTGTGGACTGACATTGGTATATGCCATTGGTGATTGCCTGGGCTCTTCACACTTAGTGGATGGACTGCCCCCCTGTGGTCAGTGCTAACATGTCATCTGATTCTCAGGTGGCACCTTCTGTGCCGAGCACAGTGGACCCACTGTGGGTTGGCAAGAACTCGAGTCCTGAGTGTGGGTCTGTACTGATGGTGAACATGACAGATTCTAGGGCTGTTGTTCTGTGTTTTGCTTTTGAGGTTTTAAAATAATTTTCTATTTGGAAATTTTCTAACATAATACAGAAATAGAGAATTATTCAACCATCACCTCAAACAGTTTTAGGATAGTTTCATCATCATCACTCCCCCCCACAAAAAAGACCGGTATCCACTAGCAGTTACTCCCCACTCCCCTCCTCTCATGCACACACTTCCAGCTCTAGGCAACCACTCACCTACTTTCTTTGTTGTTGTTGTTGTTTTAATTTTCTTATCCTCACCCTCAGATATGTTTTGTTTTTTTTTAGTTGATTTTAGAGAGAGGGAATCGAACCTGAAACCATTTGTTGTACGGGATGATGCTCCAACTGGCTGAGCCACGCGGCCAGGACTAATCTATCTGTCTGTGTGGATTTGCCTACCCTGGACAGGCCATATAAGCGGACCCTACAACCCATGGTCCCTTGTGCCTGGCTTCTTGCCCTCAGCATCGTGTTTCCAGGGCTCACCCATGTTGTGGCAGAGTCAGTACTTCATTCCCGCTTGTTACCAAACAGTATTCCAGTGTGTGGCTAGACCACATTCTGTGTATCCATTCATCAGTTGTAGCCATTTGGTCGTTCTCATTTTTTGGCTGTGGTGTATAATGCCGCTGTGAACATTTACACGCAGGTTTTTGTTTGGTCATGTTTTCATTTCTCCAGGGTATATTCCTGGGAGTAGAATAAGTGGTAACTCTATGTTTAACCTTTTGAGGAATAGCCAGACTGTTTTCCAAAGTGGCTGTACCATTTTGCATTCTCACCAGCAGTGAATAAGGTTTCCAATTTTTCTACGTCCTCACTAATACTTGTTATCTGACTTTTTAGTTATAGCCATCCTAATATATGTGAAGTGGTATCTCATTGTGGTTTCTTTAAAAAAAAATAATAATAAGGTCCAGCCCTGGCTGGGTGACTCGGTTGGAGTATCATCTCGTATGCCAAAAAGGTTGTGGGTTCGATTTCTGGTCAGGGCACATACCTAGGTTATGGGTTCGATCCTCAGTCAGGGCATATACAGGAGGCAACTGATCGATGTTTCTCTCTTGCTCACTCTCTAAAATCAGTAAACATGCCCAGCTGGTGTGACTCAGCGGTTGAGCGTCAACCCATGCACCAAAAGGTCACCAGTTTGATTCCCAGTCAGGGCACATGCCCAGGTTGTGGGGGCCAGATCCCCAGTGGGAGGCATGCAGGAGGTGGCCAGTCAATGTTCTCCCTCATCGATGTTTCTCTCTCTTCCTCTCCCTTCCTCTCTAACATCAATAAAGAAAAAAATTTTTAATAAGATAAAATCAGTAAACATATCCTCGGGTGAGGATAAACATTTTGAAAAAGGGTCCATAGTTTACAAATCATGTATCTTAAATATCTTTTCATCTATAATTTGCCCATTCATCTTTTTTATTTTTCTTTGCATTTTATTTGTATTTTAATATTATTGTAAGTGGAATTTTAAAATATTTTTCTAGTATGTAGAAATACAGTTGTGTTGCCCTGGCCTGTTTGGCTCAGCAGTTAGAGTGTCGGCCTGTGGTCCAGAGAGACCCGGGTTCGGTTCCCGCTAAGGGCATGTACCTCGGTGGCAGTTTATCCCTGGCCCTGGTTGGGTTGTGTGCCACTCGATGCGTCCCTTTCACATCGATGTTTCTCTCTCTCCCTCCCGCTCTGTCTGAACAAAAAATGGAAAAATGTCCTAGGGTGAGGATAAAAAAAGAGAAAAAGAAATACAGTTGTCATTGACAGTTTGTATATTGACCTTGTATCTTGAAATCTTGCAAAAACTCATCTATTGGTTCCAGAAGCTTTGTTGTAGATTCCTTAGAATACTGTTTAGGATTTTGTTGTAATTTCTCTATTGGCTTTTAGCTGTATTTTTTAAATTTGGGGAGGGGAGTAGATATGATGAAATCATGCAATTTAACTTAATCATGGTCCATTTAGAGTTAATATTTATATTCCATGTAACAGGAAACTTACAGAAGTATAGTTCTATTACCCCATCCTTTGGGTGTTATTTTTGTCACATATGTTTACATCTACATACATTACAGACCCCATAATACTGTCATATCTTTTGCTTTAGAGTTAACTGTGTTTAAAAGAAATAAAAAAGAAAACAACTTTACCTTTGCTGTTTTCAGTGTTCTTCGGTCCTTCCTGTAGACCCAAGTCCATTTGGTGTTTTTTCCATTCAGCCCAAAAAGATTCCTGCAACATTTCTTGCAGCTCTATTGGCAACAAAGTTACTTAGATTTAATTTGTATGAAAATGGTTTTGTTTTGCCTTTTTATTTTTATCTTATTTTATTTTTTTAATCCTCACCCGAGGGTATTTTTCTACTTATCTTCAGATAGAGTGGGAGGGAGAGAGAGAGGGAGAGAGACAGAAACAGCAACTGCTTGCCTCCCGCACGACCCTGACCAGGGCTCGAACTGCAACCAAGGTATGTGCCCTTGACCGGAATCGAACCCGTAACTCTTTGGTCTGCGGGCCAATGTTCTAATGGCTGAGCCAAACTGGCCAGGGCTGTTTTACCTTTTTTTAAAGAATAGTTTTGCTGAATGTAGAATTTTGGGTTGACAGTGTTGCTGCTGTTTTGTTTTCATTTGGTTTATTTTAAATTCATCACTCTGTAGGCATTGTTCTGTTGTCTTTTGACCTGCATTTGTTTCTAATGCAAAGTCAGCCTCAGTCATTTCATCCGTTGGTATATAAAGTGCCATTTTTTTCTCTGGCTGCTTACACGATTTCCTCTCTATTTTGGGGTTTCAGCAGTTTGTCCATGCAGTGCATAAATATGGTTTTCTTTGGATTTGCTTGGAGTTTGCTGAATTTCCTAAATCTGTACATTTATGTTTTTCACCAAATTTGTACATTGTTTTGGGGAGACCCTCAGATAAAAAAGCCACACAGTGAATATTTCACCCATGGAGCTCCTGTTTTTTCCAAGACTTGACTTCAATTCCTGCCTGCTTTTGGTAGCTCTTCACTCAGTAAAATAGTTTTGTTTTGTTTGAGTCCAGATTTTACAGTTGTTATCTCAAGGAGAGTTAGTCTAGCCAAGCTGCTCTGCCATCACCCAAAACAGGAACTTTAACCCTATTTTATCATGTGGTTTTTTTTTTTAATTAATAATATAACACGTACATCTGTCCACATAATTATGCATTCTTCTACTACACTATTTTTAACATAGTATTCCACTCTCTGGACATGATAGAATTTATTTAGTCACCCCGTAGAAATTTCAGCCCTTCACATTTTGCTGTTATAAATAATGCTGTGATGAGCATCCTTGTAGTTATGTTCATGGTTATCTCCTTAGGCTAAAAATCCCAAATGGCCGAGTCAGCTGTGTCCTCTTAGTTTTTCCAAGCTGTTCTTTAGTATTATTGTACCTCTTCTGTTTGAAGGTCTTTTTTCATAGAATTTCCTTCTAGGTAAGTACATTATGTTTCATTATGTTAATGTGGGACATCTAAAGGCTAAACTTTAATAAGCATATATCTTCCGACCTATAAAGCCTTGACTTGAACTTCAGTCCTTTCTGGATTTTCTGCAATGTGTGTTTCAGAGCCCTGTTCGATTTGATACCTTTGATAGCCTCTCACTCAGCATCCCGGCTGCCACATGGGTATGTACTGATCTGTGGTTACTGTGGGGTCTGTTTTGAAGACATCCGAATCTGGAAGGGCTTTGAGGCATTTTATGTAGCTCAAGTGCCATGTGGTACTCGGACCCGTGGTGGGTGGAACCCGTCTTAGTTTTAATGTATAGTACCATGGCCCAGTCTGGGGGGAGCAGAGGTGGGTGGTTTTCCTCTGGCTGCAGACATTTTGGCTTTTTTAAAAATACATATGCACACACATTAATCTTATTCGAAAATATCTAAAACAGTGCAGAGGTCCGTAATTGTCTGCAGTATTATGTCCTCATACCTTGACCCCGTTGTGGTAGCAAGTCTGGGGTGCTTTGAGCTCCGCGTTTGTTCAGAGGCATCCAGTTGTGTCTGGGATGCTTTTTTGCCTACATAAGTGAAAGCAAAGCTCTGGGATTCATGATGCCATGTGTTCATCGTGTCAGTGTAGCTCCCTTTTGAATTGTAATAACAAGTTTTCTTCTCGTGCTGTAGGGTCATCCATTGACCCTGGACCACTGCCTTCACCACTTCATTTCATCAGAATCAGTGCGGGGTGTTGTATGTGACAACTGTACAAAGGTAGGCCATTAGCCCCAAATGCCATCTCCCCGCTGGTCTGTATGCCCTGGTATAGCACCTCTCACCCCACTGGCCCTGAGCTCTTGTGGCTGTTCCCAGAGGAGCTTGTCAGCCACTGCCATTTCTGCCCGGGGTGGGAAATTGGCTCCACATGGACCAGGTCGCGTTCCCTGATGAGTTTTGTTTTATCCACCAACTGTTAAAAGAAGAAATTTGAATACTGTGCTTTGAGATTGGACATGCCCTCTCTCCAGTTTGCTGCACCCCCTCTATTCCCACTTGTCGCACAGCCTGCCTTACCTGTGCTGCCTGCCTGACTCCCTACCGGGGCGGGGACGTCCGGCCCACAGGCCGTATATAAGGCCCTTGAAGTCAGTACCAGCTAACGTCACACACCTCTCCAAATTAGCCTGACCAAATAGAGCAGGCTGATTTTTTCTACTTTTTTTTTTCTTTATTGATTTTAGAGAGAGAAGAAGTGGGAAGGAGAGAGAGAAACATCGATGAGAGAGAACATCGATTGGCCGCCTCCTGCATGCCCCCCACTGGGGATTTGGCCCACAACCTGGGCATGTATCTGAGCAGGCTAATCTTCAAGCTGATAATTTTGTATGGCGCAAGAATGATGTTATAAATATCCAACTGGCCCTTGGCAGAAAAAAAAAGGTTCCCCACCCTTAGGGCCTAAGCAATTGAATTTCACCCTCTTAACTAAGAGGGACTGTGTGGAACAGAAGTTTTGAAGACAACAGAACAGATGACCTGCCAGTGTCAGAACTGCTTCGTTTCTCTTGCCTCCGCTGTCGCTGTTTCTTAAGGAATAAAACTGAAAACAGCCCACAAATAACTGGGCAGCTGAGTTCATTTCAGCAGGTAGAAGTGAAGAGCCAGTTGAATACAGGTATAAGTGACGGCAGCCTGATGGGCAGCTCTCCATAGATGTCCTTTCAAGAATTTCAGCACAGAGATGTTTCTTTTATTTCAGATTGAAGCCCAAGGGACGCTGAATGGGGAAAAGGTGGAACACCAGAGGACCACTTTCGTTAAGCAGTTGAAGCTGGGGAAGGTGAGCCCACAGCACACACCCTGTGGCCCTGCCCTCGACGACTCCTGGTGGCCGGCCCCAACACGCAGCACTTTGGTCCCCTCCCTTCCCCGCAGCTCCCTCAGTGTCTGTGCATCCACCTCCAGCGGCTGAGCTGGTCCAGCCACGGCACGCCCCTGAAGCGGCACGAGCACGTGCAGTTCAACGAGTTCCTGATGATGGACATCTACAAGTACCGCCTCCTCGGCCGTAGACCTGGTCAGCACAGCCCCAAGCTGGACGAGAAGGCAGGGCCCGCGCTGGAACTGCAGGACAGACTGGCAGCCCCCCGATCAGGTGTGTGCCCAGGGAGCTAAGGCCGCGGGCCTGCGGTGCAGAGGAGAGGAATTTGGCATTGCCGGCTTCTGGGCCTTTATCCATAAAGCTTGTCCAGTGGTTGCTGAAATTCTTGAGAACAGCCAGACTGGGGGGCAGAAGCATTAAGATTTCTTAAAGGAGGTTAAAACTATATAGTAATCAGATATATAGTTTTGAAAAATATCACCGTTATAAAACTATAGAAAAAAAAGCTTAAGATTTCTGTCTGGTCTTTTGACTAAGCAGTAATTGGCTCACATCATATCATTCCAGTGAATTTTTTTATGTGTTTATATTTATTTTTTTTAAGAGAGAGAGGAAGGGAGAGGGAGAGAGGAACATCAATGTGAGAGAGAAACATCGATCAGCTGCTCCCCACATGCCCCCTCACACTGGGGATTGAGCCCGAAATCCTGGGCATGTGCCCTGACTGGGAATCAAACCAGTGACCTTTCGGTGCATGGGATGACGCCCTGCTGACCGAGCCACACTAGCCAGGGCCCAGTGAATGTCTTCTGTTTTTCCCCCTTGCATAGTCTTCTCATTTATACAGAAAACAGGAGGAGATGTCCTGGCTGGAGATCATGGAACATCTTATTGGGGTTGGTGCGTCTCCGTTACTGAATGCCTCATTTATGACCTAATTCCGTTACCAGCCTCACTTGAGGCCACTCGTTGAATTGGGTCCCAGTGAAGCAGGGAGCCATTATTGCCCTCAGGCTCTGAGGAGAAATCAAGGCTTCAAGAGGTCACATGACTGGTCCACAGGCAAACAGCAAATGAGAGCACTGGCCCCAGAAGGCAGTGCTGGGCAATTCTGTAAATGCATCTTATATAGTTTGCTGAGTTCTTTAGAGTTAGAGATGAGGAAAACCCCCGACTTCAGGGCTCCAAGCCTGAACTCAGCACTTGTGTGCTGCTCCTGCTCAAGTCCCGACTGCCCCGAGTGGGAGTGCAGGGCTGCTCGCGTTCGAAGCCTGGTGCTCTGGTTAAAGGGCCAGCAGTGACCTGCCTGGTACGTAAAGCCCCTTACATGTGACACTTGGAAGGAAAAGAGATGTAAATATCTCGATAATTATTTTATCTACACCCATAAACATTTATTTACACTGTTCCATGTTGGTACCCCTTAGAAGCTGACAATTGAAGAAGAGAGTGTTTAGATGGGTGGTTCCCGACATGGGGTTTTGCTTCCCAGAATACATTGGGCAGTGGCTGGTGACATTTCTGACTGTCGCAACTGAGAGAGGGGTGTTACTGGTATTTAGTAGGGAGAGGCCAGAGATGATAGTAAATATCCTGCAATGCACAGGACAGCCCCCACAACAAAGAATTATCCATCCCAAGTGTCAGTCATGTCAAGGTTGAGAAACCTTGGTTTAGGTCAAAATGCCAGTAAATTAGCTACTGCTTAACTCTGACACGGGCTCTGAGCAGAGAGGGGTTTACAAAGCTGTCTAAGTGAACAGCGGACCACTTTGATATGCTCTTCCTATTGGGGATTAAAACGGACAGAAAGGTAGAAAATTTTACAACCTAACAAAAAGAAATATTTGTTTTTTTTGTGTGGCATTATTGGGTAAATTTCAGCGTAATCAAAACCATGTTTTGCTTACCCACACCCACTGCTAATTTTAATTGCCTTGGGCCTTTTTCTCTTGCAGTTCTGAATCAGCCAGGGGGCCCCAAAACCCAAATTTTTATGAATGGTGCCTGCTCCCCGTCTTTGTTGCCTACCCTGCCAGCCCCAATGCCCTTCCCCCTCCCAGTTGTTCCGGACTACAGGTGAGCTGCTCTTTAGAGGCACAGTCTTCATTCCTTGTAAGCTGCTGTTTCTCTTGGTTTCCAAAGTTAGCATTCACAGAAATTAATGTAGAGATAGCTTTCTTTCATTTTAAGGTGGAAATTCACTATTATGCATTCCTGTTTATTTTTGTGCAAAATGCAAGTCACTTAATTTAAATGTTATATGTATATGTGCATATATGTATGACTGTATGTAGGAAAAGTATAAAGCAGAAAAAAAATTTTTTTTTTGGTACATGCTCCTACCGGGAACCAAACCTGGGACTCTCTGGTCCACAGGCCGACACTCCAACTGCTGAGCCCAACTGGCCAGGGCATAAAGCAGAAAATTTTAAATTTCTTGGGATACTACCTAGAGATCACCAGTTAAATCCGTAAGGTGTTCCATTCTGTAAAGTTACGTGTGTGCACACGCACATGCATGTACGCTTTTAGAATGGACATTGTACCAGTAAATACGGGTCTGTATTTTTATGGTTGTGTAGTATTCTCTTATATGGATGTACCATTGTATCTGCCCCATCACTGAATATCTAGGATTGTTTTGCTTTTGTCTGTAAACCTCTTTGTTGTATTTGTAAACCACTGGCATTTGTTACTACCATTCAGCTCCTCCATGTACCTCTTCCGGCTGATGGCAGTTGTTGTCCACCATGGGGACATGCACTCTGGACACTTCGTGACTTACCGACGGTCCCCACCTTCGGCCAAGAACCCTCTCTCAACCAGCAACCAGTGGCTGTGGATTTCCGATGACACTGTCCGCAAGGCCAGCCTGCAGGAGGTCCTGTCCTCTAGCGCTTACCTGCTGTTCTACGAGCGTGTTCTTTCCAAGATGCAGCACCAGAGTCGGGAGTACAAGTCTGAAGAATGACTGTGCCCCGGCCCCAAGGCGAGGCCTCATGGCACTGTCTAAGCTGTCCAGGAGGGTCAGAACCAGACTGTGTGTGTGTGTGTGTGTGTGTGTGTGTGTGCGCGCGCGTGCGTGCACGTGCGTGCACACAAGCGGCCCCCGAGTCCTTTGCCTTCTGGTGTGTCCTGAGAGCGGGCTCCACCGGGGAGCAGTGGCCCCGATTCAAACCAAATCCGGCTCCCTGAACAGCTCTGCTAGTGTGCACCGGAAGGTGTCGCTGTTAGGAAAGCATTTATGTCTAGAGCATCTTTTTACTCCCCTGATATTGGTAATTAAAAAAAATCAGACTCCAGAAGACATCTTTTTTATATTCTAATATGCTAGGTGTTCTCAGAGAGGAGTTCACTTTGTCAAATCCTCTGATGTTTCAGCACAGATCTTTTATTTTTAATAAGCAGGCCCATATAAAAAATTGTTGACAAGAATTAGTGTAATTATTAAAGGCAACAATTTAGAAGAAAAAGTGCCTTTCACTTTCGATTGCTTTTGTAGCACGTCCATCGGGGAAAACACATCCTCTGAGAGTCGCAGCAACAATGTTTGAAAGGCTCTCTCCTGAGCTGCTCAGTGGCCAGCAAGGCAACAGCTACAAGAGGCCTGAAGAACACCCGCCTTTCCTTTTTGTATGTCTTTTTCTAATCTTTCGATTCTTTGTATATAGTAAGAGCTCACCTGCCAAATCTGCCCCTTGCGGGAATTCTCTCAACTGCTTCTGTGTACCGGACTAAGTGATGACACAACCCACGGGGACAGCCGGACCGAGCAGCGTCCGTGCCCTAGCGAGGCCGCGCTCTGCAGGAGGCCGTCTCACACGCAGGTCCCCCTGGACGGTTATTCTCACCTATTTATTTACTGCTCGTGCGGAGCTCTGACGATTTCCGGGGGGGCGGGGCCGTGCCAGAAGACTACACTGCCTTGGTCTGAGAGCTGGCATCGGGAGGGAGGACAGTGACCTCGGGTCCCTCGTTTATAAAGTGAAGGGTTAGACTCGATGGCCGTCAAAAGCCAGGCTTTTCTACAAGAAGCGTGTTATTTTTAAAACATGCAGCTGACACCTAGTATTGTCATTTTGTTATAGGTCCATATTCTAAATGTATTTGTTTCCAGCACCCTGATACAAAAAGACTATGGTGAGCCCTCTCTTCCCTCTTCAGGTAAGTGCTGTGAATGAAGCCCAGGGCCGAAGGCTTTTTGATGACACAGGAGAACCTATGTTTTAGCTAGAATTTTGTATTTTTGAAAAAAAGGACACCAAATTTATATGGACTCTTCAGAGATAAGATTTGGAATCAGACCTGTCCAGGCCACCTGAGGTAAGGCTAAGAACCGTGCTTGCTCTGTGGGGGTGAGCTGGCAGACACTTCTAGACAGTGCCCGTGTCAGCTAAAGCACAAGAGGTCCAGGTGACCGCCAGGCCCAGCACGCGCCCCGAGGACTCGGAATGTCTCGCTGCTGACAGAACACACTGTGAAGGTTCTCCAGGCCACGGACGTCAGGGTGAAAGGAGCAGCCCAAAGCGTCTGACCCCTCCTGCATCCATTGCTGCTCCCTCCTGCTTCCGCTGCAGACCCGGCTGTGAGGTTGAAACCGGCGTACCTGTTTTACCGGTGGAACAAACGCCCAATCGTGTGACCTCAAACTGCACCGCAGACTTGTAGCTTCGAGTGACCTTGGCTCTGCCACTGCTCACTCTGTGAATCTGCCTTTAAAGAGAGATACCGGGCACAGAAGGGGCTGATCCTTTGAACACGCTGTAAACAGGTTGTTGGTCAGAGGCCAGGGTTGCAAATGTGAATGATATCTGCAAAGTCCCTTAACCTGACTTAAAGCAGACTTCCTCGTTTTGTAAATTAGCAGGCTTTACGTAGCCACCAAATAATCTTATTTCTAGTTTTAAATTATTTACAAAACGGCTTCTTTTTGCAAAAACCTAAGTTAAACTAGTAGTTTATGCCATAATTGCTGATTTATGTACTTGCTAAAGGTACCTTTTGTATCTGCTGTGTATTATAGCAATAAAAGAATCATTTTGTTAGGAAAAAAAATCAACTGGTATTCTTTCATAATTTTTTATTAATCCTCACCCAAGGACATTTTCATTGATTTTTAGAGAGAGAGAAATATCGATGTGAGAGAGAAACATTGATTGGTTGCCTCCCACATGTGCCTGACCATGCACCCCAACCATGTGCCCCGACTGGGGCTGCAGATCGAACCCACAACCTAGACATGTGCCCTGACTAGGAATCAAACTGGGGACCTTTCGGCATAAGGGACATTCTTCTACCAGCTGAGCTGCCCTGGCCAGGCCTATTCCTTCGTAATTGACTGATCTGATATAAACATCTTGTGAATTCTGCATTGTTATGGAATGTGAAACCTTTCCATTTCTTGTTGGTAAAGGAAATGCCAGCTCCCATCTTCAAGTAGAGAGGGAAGGAGAAACCAGAAGTCCTAACTGAAAAACACTTTTACTTCCTAGTAGGCAGAATTTTACGGAAGGTCAGGTTGACACGTGGAGCCAGAATCTTCTTGCGGACGGGGAGACTGTGATACCAGTGAGAGTTGGTCGGGGGGTTCATCATCAGTAAACTCCCGTGGGCCAGCTGAAGCCTGACCACCTCCACGTTCCGGGCGGGGTTTCTCCCCCGAGAATCTTTGTGCCGGAAGAAGAAGTCTCTGCAGGCCCCAAAGGAGACGGAGGCGATGGGGCTCCCAGGAGCCAGTTCTCTTTCGTCATCGCGGTGCTCCCCGATGTGGTCACGGCCGTCTTTATACCTGCAGGGAGAGCAAGCACGTTCCCAGAGCAGCCCTCCCCCGAAGCCCACCGACGCCGCAGCAGCCTCGTGTCTTTCCGGCGGGAAACGCTGCTCCCAGCACGCTGGGCTCCTGCAAGGCTGGGGGCCTCTCCTGGTTCTGCGGGGAGCCAGGCCTGCAGCCCGCTCACTTAGTTACCCAGGCCTCGCCGATCAAGTGCTTTAGAACTCAACCAACAGAAGCTCAAACTGTGTCTTCTAGTTCTCTTGGTTCACGTACGTAAACCCTTGTCATGAAAAGGTCTCTCTATACCTAGAATAAAATCTATTTTCCTAGCATAGTCTGGCCCTTGTGCACCTCTGAGCTCAGCCCATACCCCTCTCCCTCATTCACTGATTCCCGGCTATCTCCACGGGATTTTCACTCCATAGACACTCCAAGATCCCGCTGCTGTTCCCCCCGATGGCTGTGTGGCTCACGCTCTCTTCATTCAGTTATCAGCTCGGACGTCAGCGTCCCTGAGCTCTCCTCTCAACGCACCCCCTAAACCAGGGGTGGGCACCGTCCAGCCCGCAGGCTGTATAAGGCTTGTGAAATCAACACCAGCTAACGATACATCTCACCAAATTCGCCTGACCCCATATAGCAGATTAATTTTTAAGTTGATAATTTTGCATGGCCCCTGAATGACGTTATAAATATCCAAATGGTCCTGGCCTTGCCTTGTGAATGTGATCTCCACCAGCTCAGACCATTTAACCCCTGCAGCCCACAGTTCTCAAGCAGTGCATTTCTGCCCCACCCTGGGACTGCACGCTGTCTGGAGACACTTTGGTTGCGATGACTGGGTTGGGGTTGCTACTGGCATCTAGTGGGTAGATACTCAACATCCTACAATGCACAGGATGGCCCCACCACAGAATTATCTGGCTCAAAACTTCAGTAGTGCTGCTGCTGCTGCTGCTGCTGCTGCTGCTGCTGCTGCTGCTGCTGCTGAGAAACCCTGCCTTGAACCCAGACCATTTTTAGTCAAATCAGCAAGACACTATCAACGTCTGGAATGATCTCATTCAACTGTTCAGCAGTTAATCACCTCTCACTTTCCCCCGTGGCAAGAGCTCCATGAAGACAGACTGTTCATGCCACAGCCCTGGTGCACTAAAGAACTACCTGTTGTGCAAATAAATATGGTGGATGCCTAAACTCTCCCTTTGGAAGAGGCGATGATAAAATTCAGTGCAGTGACCTAAAAAACAAGTAGGGCATCACCTGTTAACAAGCACAAAGTTGAAGGTCTGTCCAGTCACCAAAGAAACACGATCCCGGACTCGCTCTAGAACTTGGATCCAAGGCTTTGGAGACAGAGTAAGGCCTGAAAATGTATAGGTCAGCCCAGTGTCGCCGTACGTCGCCTGCTTCCTTGGCACGCTGTGCCACTTCCCAAACACCTGCACCTTGGCCAGTGCACCTGTGCAGACGAAACACGGCAGCTCAGAAAACCAGGCAGGTGGGTACCCTGTACATTCACTCCCTGGGTATTCAGGATAACTAAAAAAATTTTTTTTTTTAATTTTTTTTCTTTATGGATTTTTTTAGAGAGAGAGGAAGGGAGAAAGAGATAGAGACAGAAACATTGATGAGAGGAAACATCGATGAGAGAGAACATCGATTGGCCGCCCCCTGCATGCACCCCACTGGGGATCGGGCCCACAACCTGGGCATATGCCCTCACTGGAAATCGAACCGGCGACCTCCAGGCACATTGGTGGATGCTCAACCAATGAGTCACACCGGCAAAGCAAAAATAACATTTTTAAATTCTACAACTGATTGATTTTAGAGAGAAAGGAGAGAGAAGGGGGGAGAGAGAGGGAGACATCAATTTGTTGTTCCACTTATTGATGCGTCCACTGGTTGATTCTTGTATGTGTCCTGACTGGAGACTGAACCCGAAATGGTGGCATATCGGGATGATGCTCTAATCAACTGAGCTACCCAACCAGGGCAGGAATAACTTTTAATAACTTGACCGAGGACCCCCTCCTCAAACGTCATTGTGGCTTGCCCAACTTAACAGTGCTTCTTGTCCTACCCTTCGAGAAACATGGCTCTAGTCCAATTTTTTAAAAAACACCGTAACTTTATGTAGGAGCAGAATAGAGAGGCTAAATGTGAACAAGACAAAGTTAGGTTACACACTAGGGTGATTCTGCCCATGGTGGGGACCAAGGGTCTAGGGCCCCATGAAAGATGGAGCTAACACAGCCCAGTCGGTAGGTTGGGGTCTCCTGTGGGCTTTTCTATGCCTCCTAGTGCTCTGCCCCCTTGCGGTGGTTCTCAACGTGTGGTCTGGTTGCAGGCAGCATCCGCATGACCTGAGAACTCAGACACTAGACTCTGGGGCGGGGCGGGGCGGGGCGGGGCGGGGTGGGGGGGGGGGGCAGCCATGGGAGTTAACATAAGCAACCAAGTCCTCCAGGCGATGCTGAGAACAGTGCAGAATTACCTGGTCATCTGCTGTCTAGACCAGTGGTTCTCAGCCCTGGCTGCACGTTAGAATCACCTGGAAGCTTTCTAAAAACACTGATACCGCGCTGACCCCCAGCTATTCCGATTCAGCTGATCTCAGTCAGAACTCTGCATCCTTTTTCAACTTTCCCAGATGGTTCTCCCAGTGGAGATCCACTCTAGTCACCTGTCAGCTCCTAGTGGGAGGTGATCCTGTTTTGTTTTACGTTTTTACCCCAAGCGCCTAGCGAGGGTCTTGACCCGCCGGTGTCCAGAGAATATGTGCTGAATCAACTGACAAACTCATCCGTGATTAATGGCTCCCGAGTTCCGATTTCTCTAAACACAAACTAGTTTCATTGAACAAGCCCTCAACACACACCCTGCAGCCCTCTGCTTACCTGTAAAATACTCCACTTCTTGCTCCAACTCGTGGAAAATCTCGTCCGCTTCGGCTTTGCCAAACAGGACTGTGTAGTCACAGTCCAGGCCCTCGGATCGAATGTGTCGCCAGCGGAGGCCTGACAGGTCACCACCATGCCCGGGGGTTTCTCTCCTGAGCCTTTTCCTGGTGCCTTCCTCCGTTTCTCTCAACTCTGTTGGGCCTCCCCCTGTGTGCTCTTGCTCCCTCTTTCCCACAAGGCCCCCTAGAGCCCTCTTCACCAGGAATCTGTCCATCCCGTCTCCACAAAGCAAAGACCTGGGAGTCAGCGGTGGGGCAGAGAGGGCCACTGCCCAGGCTCTGCCCCAGATGCAGATATTTGCTCTCTGCACAGTGATTCACAGCAGCATCCCTCCTTATTGTTTTCAAGTTTCCATTGTAACGTTTAACACCAGGTCCTAGAGAGGAAGTGGAGGGTTAAAGCTGGGATGGCCGGTTGAGATGATGCGGTCCAGCCCAGAGTCTCCACGCCTGGCTATGCTAGAAGCAGCTGGCCAGCCTGCAAAACCCCAAAAGCCTGCACTCCACCCCCAAGCACCTGAATTTTTAAAGACACCCTTCCCCCCACAAATTCACACACCGCAGGCGAATTTGGAAACTACAATCCAAACCCTCACTTTAAAAAAGAGGAAACTAGCACCAGAAGGGGCTTGCCAAAAGTCATCCAGAAAAGCAGTGTGTCTGTCCATCTCCCTTTCGCCCATAGCCACCTGTCACTCCCACACCAGCATTAAACTGGGTAAGCAGTATTGTGATCCTCAAATGGATACGATTCTGCATTTACATGTAAAACAGCTGAACACGATCCACAGGCAAACATGCAGAATTCTGATAGAAAATAACTGTAACACGTGCGTGGGGTGGGGCTGCCGAGGGTTCTCTTCAAACTCTCAGCACCTGCGTAGTGTCGAATCCCGCAAAAACGGTAGAAAGGGGGGCGGGAAAGAGAAAACACTCACCCCGACCCAGCAGTGCTTCCGGGTGGATTCTCACAGCAAGCTGGGAAATGCAGGCAAATGTGCAAAACAAGGCGGTAGGCGGCCTCTGGGCGCCATCTGCTGGCCTTCTGTGCGTGTTGCAAGCACTACTGTGTTTAGTTTTGCTCTGCAACTGTTGAGGATCATCTGTGGTTTGGGAGCTGCTGTTCTGTGCACCTCTCTGGGGATTAATTTGGTGTCCTGACAGGGAGTGGGGCCACCAACACATTGTCGCAGGTAGGACAACAATCCTGCAGTCGGACCCAGTGGCTTCCATTTCTGTCTCCTCCACACTAGCTGTGTGGCTCTCACAGGTTACTTAAAGTCTCTGGGCTTGAATGGCCTCATCTATATAATGGAAACTATAAAACCTATGCCATGAGAGCGCATGAAGGTTAAATGAGAGGACGTGTGTGAAATGCTTTCATGTTCCAAATGTCAGGTTCTATTGCTGCTCCGAATTTTGGTTACTCCCTGCCTCACCCAGTGGGCTTTGTTAGGAATCTTCCGAGTGTACAATTCTGCAGATTTTGCCAAAAGTACACAGTTGCATGACCTCCACTGAAATCTAGATCCAGAATGGTTCCATCACTCCACAAAATCCCCCCGTGTCCCCAATCACTGTTTTCTGTCATTCTATAGTCTTGTCTTTTCCACAATTATCTTATAAATGAAATCATACAATATATAGCCTTTTGGGTCTGGCCTCTTTCACTTAGCATGATGCTTTTAAGATGTATTCTTGTTGATTGCTGAGAATTTCATTATCCTGGTGCCTGACAGTTCACTTACCCACTCACCCACTGGGGGACATTTGGGTTGTTTTCCAGTTCAGGGCAATTACAAATAAACTCACTATATCCATACTTGTGGAAGCTTTTGTATGAACATAGAGTTTAATTTCATTTGGGTAAATACCTAGGAGTGGGATTGCAGGGGCACCTGGTAAGTGTATGTTTTACTTAATACAAAACTGCTGAGCTGTTTTTTTCAAAGTGGTTATAAGGGCAAGTTAGTTATTTATTTTTCATCTTAAATGGGGTTTATTTTAGAAACATATAGATCAATATTGAGAAATATATTTATAAGAACTAATTATATAAAATATTTTAGAATCTTCTCCATAGATTTTTAAAGACTTATCTTTATTGTTGAAGGTATTACAGATGTCCCCTTTTCCCCATTGACCCTCTCCTCCCTCCTCCCACCTCCCTCCTGCCTTCCCCACACTGGTGTCTGTCCGTTGGTTATGCAGATACGCATGTAAGTTCTTTGGTTTCTCTTCTCACCTCCACCCTTCCCTTTGAGGTTCATCAGTCTAACAACCAATTTGTGCTTAATTCCTTCATCTTCTTCACCCATCCCCCCACCCACCTGGCAACCAACAAAAAGTTCTCTGTGTCTATGAGTCAGGTTCTGTTCTGCCTGCTCATTTTGTTTATAAATTCAATGGTTGATAGATATGTATTTATTGAAGCGCAAGTGGTTTTAAATTATGAGCTTCTCCCTTGCTTACCCACCAAGCTCCTTGTCCTAGGCGCTGGAGCACCTAGTAACAAGAAGAATAAAGTCCCTGCCCTCACCCGGGTCACATTTTGGAGATGGACACAGAAACAAACAAGAAAAGAATACACGGGGTAATTTTAGGTAACACGGAAGCTATCAATAGAGTAACGGGCAGGAGAGTAGTGCAGGAGAAGACCTTTCAGGGGAATGGTCCCAAGTGCGACCTGAAGCTTCCAGTAGGGGGACACTGCGTGCAGGGGCGTCATACCGGTGGTGTCCGGTGAATGCTGAGACCCTGGTTCAGTCGGGCCACTCCCTGTAGGAGGGGCTGCTCAGAGAGGGAAGCGGCCTTGCCTGCGGAGTAAGGGGCTGGGGTTTCCTTCCAAGCACGTCTGGAGACAGTAGGAGTTCACCTGGGGATTATCGTGATATAATTTACATTTCAAACAGATCTTTCACTCCCACAACAACTTCACGGGACAGATAACTTTGTTCTTTCTCTCTCTTTTTTCTTCTTCACAGCGGAGGGAGGCAGAGGTATGAGTGAATAAATTAAAGAGTAAAGGAACGAATGGACCTATGGGAGTCCTGCCCACAGCAGCCCCTCCCGCACATGCGCACTGGGCCCTTCGCGGCCCCCTGCCCAGCCCACCCCTTCGGTCGGAGCATGCGCGTGCAGCTTGGCGCCAATTTCGGACCGCCACAGCCTGCGCTAGCCTCGCGGGTCCCCGGGCGGCGCGCGTTCGCTCTCCCCTCGGCTTCGGGATGATCGGCCAGAAGACGCTCTACTCCTTCTTCTCCCCGAGCGCCGCCAGGAAGCGACGTGCCTGCAGCCCCGAGCCGGCCGACCCGGGGACCGGCGTGGCGGCCGTAGCTGAGGAGAGCGGGAATGCAGCGGTGAGGCACGGCTGGGACCGCTTGTGGGGCCGGGGGAGGGGACAGGGAGGAAGGCGGCGGGCCCCGCGAGACCGACGGGTTGCAGAAACGGGGCCCTAACTTGGTAAACTGGGGTCTCACGTTCAAAACAACCTCCACGTGTTCTGAACAGCCTCCATGGGTTCAAAACAGCCGCCGCGGTGCCCGGTCGGCGGCCATGCTGAGGGGCCAGCCAATAGGGGCGAGCCTCGGGGCCCACGGCACCAACCAGAGGCGAGGGGGCCGCCCTCCTCGGCCCACCGCCCAATCGGAGGAAGGGAGAGGCGGGACCTCGGGAGGAGGGTTTTTGCCGCGAAAAGACCACGTGGGGATGCGAGTGGCGGGTCCGGCGGGGCGGGGCGCGGCGCCTTGTTGCCGGGCCTCCTCTCCAGCGAACCGCTCAGCTCCGCCACGTATTAGTACCAAACGCGAAATTTGGGACATCGGCCTGCTAGTGCGGGTCCGGGCTAAAGCCTGGGTTCCCAGAGTCCGGTTTTGCGCCGACCTTACGGGTGGGGCTGAAACCCACGAATGCGCGTCCTCTGCAATGGGCCTTTGGGCTGGGGGTGGGAGCTGTGGGCGCTGTGGGCGCCTGGGAGAGGGCCGCTGCGGCTCCTGACCCGTCTCTGCGGGGACCGCTCGCAGGCCAGCCCCGCCAAGAAGGCCCGGGCGGAGCAGGAGGAGCCAGGCACACCGCCCTCGTCGCCGCTGAGCCCCGAGCAGTTAGTCCGCATCCAGAAGAACAAGGCCGCTGCCCTGCTCAGACTCGCGGCTCGCAATGTGCCCGTGGGTTTCGGTGAGAGTTGGAAGCAGCACCTCAGCGGAGAGTTCGGAAAACCGTACTTTATAAAGGTAAATGAGAAGGCTGCGGGCCCTTCGTATGGAGACCTGGGCCACGTTTGTAGGATATTGCTTTCCTGGTCGCCCACTTTCTGTCCCTTAGTGTCCTTTTCGCGCTAAGGGGCTAAAATGGTGTTTTTGAATCCGCATGTTTATATTGGCTTTTTAAAAATCATTTAGTCAGTCTGCTCTCCAGGAAAGAGGGGCAGGGTAAAGCCACGAATCAGACTGCGTGAAATCTGGCTCCGCCTTTAAAAAAGAGGGAGGGGTTGGCGTTAACAGGAAATCAAAACATCTAGGGAGGGAATTGAAGAGTTTGAGCAGCTTTGGTGGCGAGCAGGTACTGTTTTTCATTTGCTGTTGTGTTTTTATTTGATTTTTAGAGGGAGAGAAAAACATCCATTTGTTGTTTCACTTTTTTATGCATTTATTGATGGGTTCTTGTATGTGCCTTGACTGGAGAGCCAGCACACAGCCTTGATGTATTGCTTGAACCAACTGAACTACCAGGCCAGGGCAAGAAAGAATTTGATATAAAACAGCAGAGTTAGAGAGTGTTTCAGTTAACTTATTAAATTCAGTGAGAGTCTGGTTTTAAATCTGGTTTATCTTTCGATTAGCTAATGGGATTTGTTGCGGAAGAAAGAAGACATTATACTGTGTATCCACCCCCACACCAAGTCTTCACATGGACTCAAATGTGCAACATAAGAGATGTAAGTACAGGTTGGGGATGAATTTTGGTAAAAGGGCTGGGACTCAAATACTAGTATTTCTTTTTTATTTTTAATCCTCACCCGAGGACATTTTTCCATTTTTTGTTCAGATAGAGTGGGAAGGAGAGAGAGTAACATTGACATGAAAGGGACACATTGAGTGGCTGCCACCCAAACAACCCAACCAGGCCTGGGGACAAACTGCAACCGAGGTACATGCCCTTAGCTGGAACCAAACCCGGGTCTTTCTGGACCACAGGCTGATGCTCTAACCACTGAGCAAACCCGCCAGGGCTATATTTCTTAATTAGGGACAATGGAGTTAAACCACTGTCCATAATTCAGTAATAAATAAAATACTAAAATTGTGAAATTTGTCAGGCTGCATTTTAACCTCTATTGAATCTTTTTTTTTTTTTTTTACTTTTACCATGGATTGTTGATGCAACACAAAAAAAATATGTACTTAGACCATATATTCTTATGCTCTCATTTCTTGTACTTTATTTAATGCTGAAACCAACCCCAGGCCAGTGTTAAGTATTATTGTGGTGGTGACAAGGAAACTGGGGCATGAAGCAGTTAAGTCTTTTTTTTTTTTTCTCTTTTCTTTCCCAATTTTTACAGTTAAGACTTTTTCAGCTGGTTATAGTCAACCCCACCTTGACTTGTATCAGTATCCTTTCGGTCTGACCACACTGTCTTTTAATCTCTTAACTTCTGGCCTGAACAGCTTTGCTACCTATTAACAAATCCCTTTGCTTTTGTACACGGCAGCTCTCCTGGGGCTCTGGCCATGTTTGTCTCCTGTTCAGAAGCTTGTCTGTGGCTTCCCACTGTCTGAACTGTAAAAGCTGCATGAATGTGGCCACGTCCTACTTACCAGCCTTACTCCACCTCCCCTTCTTTTACTTCAGCGTTGAACAGTGTGTCCTTTCCTATTTCCCACCACCGTTGTGTTCTAGTTTTCCTGTAAAACCCCCAAATGTGTTTAGTGTTTGCTTACACTGGAGATTTTTACACTTTGTTCTTACCCTTTTCCCTTCCCCATTTGTAAGTTGAGAACAGGAGTCTCATGACTTGCAAAATATCTGTTAAATAGACGTGAAATAGGTGAAAAAGCCATCTTGTTAAGGCTGCAACACCTAATATTTAGCAAACTTCACAATTTTTAGTTTAGAGTCAAGACTTTGGATATAGCTCCTTGTTTCTGAAGTTAAAAAAAGTTCTTTCAAATTCAGTACTATTTTGTGCCTTGTTTGAACAGTATGTCCTGTTTTGAACACAAGTGATCTATGTAAATAGGGAAGAATAAGAAAAGAGCATGAAACTAAGGATCAGGTGGCCCAGAGTGGCTTCTTTGCAAATGAGCATATGGAGGGACTGGGAGGTAACCTGGCTCCTCCAAGATTGTCTCTTATCCAGGATCAGCTGGAAAGCTTCCGGGCTGGGACAGATTGCTTCATGCTGAGGACAGTGTAAGCTCCAGAAGTAGGAAGGGAGAGGTCCACCAAAGCTCCCTTATTATGGGAATGTCTAAAGTTGGATTTTGAAGGGTAAAGGTATATGTCAGCTGTGGAAGAAGATTCTAAGAAGATACACCTTGAGCAGAAGTATGAGAATGAAGAAAGAGGTGGGCAGCCTCCAGATCAAAAGGACTAGCAATGTTTTAACACCGCCAGGGATAGTAACCTAATTACTTTTCACTGCATCTTGCCACCTACTCCCATGGCTCTTGATCGGCCTCATTATCTTCTGGTTTCCTTCCTTAGAGAATATAGGGGAACAGGCCCCTCCAAGCTGCTGGTGGGGAATTTGAATGGCTTCAACTTGTCAGAAAGCAATTTGGGATGTGTCTGAAAATTTAAAATACTTACCCTTTGACCAGCGACTCCACTATTATAAATAGTCCATAGAAATAAAAAAGCAACAGTGTAGAAAGATACGCGTACTGGGGTGTTTACTGCATGAGTGTTTGTAATGCAAAACAAGCTGACTGCCCATCAGTGGCTGGGCTGTATTGACCTGAAGGATGCCCAAGATGTGTGAGAAACACTAAAATGTTGGGCAGTGGGTACAATAACCCCAATTCTGGAGGTAGTTAAAACTGGTTGGATTGGTGGGATAGGATAACTGGGAGATGACTAACCACTTTGTATGTGTCTGGATGGTTGTTCTTGTTTTCAAGGATGTATTTGCTTTTGTAATTTGACAAAGGAAAGGACGAAAGCAAAGTTGACCCCAGCTTGTTTCAAATACCTGTGTCAGAAGGGGAGGGGGCAGGGTGGTAGGGTGACTGAAGGAGAACGGAAAGTAAGATGCCAGGTCACTTGCTTTCTTCTGGAGGTTCTTAGTTGGGTCAGCAGGGGGGGCCACCCTTCTCGTTATCGTGTCTCTTTATATAGGTCATCTGCCAGCTAAGTGTTCATTTACACTGACTACACTAGAGTATTGTTTAATTTGCCACCTGGTATTCACAGGTGAAGGTTGTCATCCTGGGACAGGATCCATATCATGGACCCAATCAAGCTCATGGGCTCTGCTTTAGTGTTCAAAGACCTGTTCCACCTCCGCCCAGGTACAGTTGCTTTATAGATTGCTCAGGTCCAGTTGCGCTTACTTTCAGATGTGTGCTTGGCAAATGATGGGTGCCGTCGTCCCTCATTTATGACGTTGATCCATTCCAGGCTCTAGCGGTTGCACCTGGCGTTGAAGGATTCCTGGGGTGCTCGAATACATGGGCCTACAGTCCATACGTACAGTAATTTTAATTGTAATTGTAATACAGGGGTGTATAATTGACTCAGACAACCAAGCGCATGCTGTATCATTTCCACGGTCTCCATCAACTTTTTGATGAATATGTTTGAAAAAACTGAGATAAAGTGAAGCTGCGAAAGTCAAAACGCGAAGTGGGGAGGGACTGTATACCTGTTTGGGGGACTTTTGCTGGCCTTTGGAGCAGGATATTTTAGTGTTGGCGCTATTTATGTTTGGGGGTTGTGTCTCTGGGGGAGAAGGTTGATCCAGGGCACTGGACGATGTTTAGCACTACCCATGGCTTCTACCCATGGATGCCGGCAGCACTGACCCCAGAATAGAGAGTTCCAACAAAATGGCAATGAAAAATGTGTTCAGACCTTGCCCGGTGTCCCTTGTGGGACAGAAATCACCCTTGGTTAAGAACCACTGCGTTCGAGGGTGTTTATAAACAAATATATAGAGATAAACAACTGCAAGTAAGCAGCAATCAGAAGGGAGTTGTAACTCCTGGGCTAATTTACTCAGGTCTTCCGAAGTGCTGTTCCTTAAATCCAAACACAGACCAAAATGAAGGACTTTTGCAGGGTTACCTGTCAGCAGGAATGGTAGTATTTCCTCATGAATCCATGAGGACAAACATGTCTTGCTCCCTTGTCCTCTGGGGCTGGCTTTACACGCTGTAATTCACTTGTCTGTTGAAGGTTGCCTAACTTTGAGAATTGTGCTCAAGATTGTCTTTTATTTCTTCCGGTTTACTTTCAGTTTGGAAAACATTTATAAAGAGCTGTCTACAGACATAGATGGTTTTGTTCATCCTGGTCATGGAGATTTATCTGGGTGGGCCAAGCAAGGTAAACCAATTACTGCTACAAGTGTCTAAGGTAGATTTCATCAATCTCTTTTCTGTCCACTTGTTTGTGTTTGTAAAAGATAGCCATGAAGAACGAGAGAGCTGTACGAAAATGGTTAAACTTATAAAAGTCAGAAAATGTATCTCTGTTTTATCCTGCAGCCAATGTTTTCTTTCATGGTTTTTGTTTTTGTTTTTTACTGATTTTTGGAGAGAAGAAGGGAGAGGGAGAGAGAGACATCACATCCATCGGCTGCCTCCTGTACTCTCCCCAGCAGCCTGCAACTGGAGCATGTGCCCTAACTGGGAATCGAACCAGTGACCTCTTGGTGCACGGGAGGACACCTAACCAACTGAGCCACACCAGCCAGCCAGGGCTCCTTTCATATTTTAATCATAATTTGAAAAGCGTGTTCCCCATTATTATAATTTTACATATACCCACTTAACCTTAACTTGGACCATTTAGAAGGTGGCCTCACTTTTGTCGTTTTGACACAGGTTGTGTTGTATGTATTTAATACTGACCTATGGGACATATTTCTTTTTTAACAAATAAACTCTAACCAGGATAAGGAAAGAATATATACCTTTTGGTTTGCTTGCAGTTAGATTTTTTTTCCATTGAAACACTTTGGCCTCCTTTTGTTATTTGTGGTGTTATTTAATATCACTCAGGAACACGGTTCTTTCTGGTGACCAATGGTATATGATGCACGCTCACTGTTGCAAACTCAGAAGGTGTTGTAAGTGCAAAAGTGAACATTGAGTGCCCTCTGATAGCTTCGGTTGGTGCCCAGCAGTCTGCTGAAATGCTTTCTCTATGACCGAATTTCAGCCAGCCAGCCAGCCAGCCACTCTGGATCCCATCCTGAGAATGCTTTCCTCATGTGGTTAGCCCCTGTTGTTGGGTGTTGGGCCAACTCATTTCAGGCTGCCTTTAACCTCTTTCTTTGGTGTGTGTTGTAGGTGTTCTCCTACTCAACGCTGTCCTCACAGTCCGGGCGCATCAGGCCAATTCTCATAAGGAGAAAGGTTGGGAGCAATTTACCGATGCGGTTGTGTCCTGGCTAAATCAGAACTCGAGTGGCCTTGTCTTCTTGCTCTGGGGTTCTTATGCTCAGAAGAAGGGCAGTGCCATTGATAGGGTATGTGGTTTTTAACCGTTTAAACCAGCTTAGAGAATTCTAGGAATCCTTGTAGTGTGGTCCTGGAAAATCCATGTCATAAAATGAAGCTTATTTTCCTTTATCACTCTTAATTAGGGTTGGGTTTCTCATTGAAAATTGAACAAAATATAGAGAAATTGCAGTAACGATTTGTGGTGTATCAGGAAACCTAGTGGTTAACTTCTGATTTAATACAGTTACCAATACAGGCATGAACCTGCCATATTCATAGAAAGGTACACAAATCCCCGGCCACCATTCATTTAACAAACAATACAGTAAATCAGCCATTTTCAGCCCCTGTGTCATAAGAAGTTTTAGAACATGCAATACCTGACTATTTAGTCAGGGGCACTGGCCTCTTTTCCCTTAGATTAACAAATAAAAAAACAATGACAACCAGCACAACAGTAGCTATCCCGTGTGAATGAATCAAAATTTATCAGGTTGGCAAAAAAATATTCCTTAGGGTGCTGCAGAATTTTAGTAATTCGCTATGTGTGCCATGAAAAAGGTTGAATGAAAATTGCTGATATACCCAGTTGTCCAGCCAGAAATCAGATATTCATAACACCTCTCTCTTTCCCCCTTATCCCTCTCCTCCCTGCCCCCCATCCTCACCCCACATTCCGTCAGCCCGCCTTCTCTCTCTATGTCCCTCAAACCCGCCCCACCTGGACACCGTGGCCTGGTTCAGGCCCTCAGACCTTGCCTGGGGCATTCAGATGCCTCCCCGTGGAAGCCTTGCCTTGGACTGACAAGCTGGGCTCTGGGGCACGGCCCAGGTCTGCCGCCCGGCACAGCTTTCCTCTCGCGCTCAGCTCCAGGCTGGCCGCACCTCCCAGGTGTGTCCCCTGTGCCCCTCTCCCCTGCCTGCCTCTGAACGCCCTGCTTCCTTTGTCCGAGTATAGAGGTCCCTCCCGTCCCCAGAGGCTGGCACACTTTTCCTTCGAGCTCAGCACAGCTCACATCTCCAGGGGCCTGTGCAGCGTGCCAGACGGGGTGCTAATAAGCACTCGACCTCCGCTGTTTCTCGTAACACCCTGTGCGCACGATCATCCGTTCATTCTTTCACAGGAACTAGAAGCCAGGCACTGTTGATATTCCCAATTTACAGAGAAAAATGAAGTGCAGTTGTGGGAGGCCCAGAAACTCCCCTGGGGCTACACAGCCAATGGCGGAGTCAGGACTTGAACCCAGGCCGCCCAGCTCCAGGCTCCGTGGCTTCAGTTTTGACCCTTCCTGGACCGAGCAACTTAAAGGCAGGGGTGTTTGAAAACAATTATTTGGTAGATGGTTATAATTTAAATGCAGAAAAGAATCAAAACAAAAGTCTGTAATCTTCCTGCCTACGTTAACTACAGTTGAAATTGTAAAAATCAAAATATTCCATTTTTATGGTAAGACAATTCAAACAGTAATGAGAGGTACAAAATAGAAGTTAATGCTTTTCACGGTTTGTTTGTTTTTTTCTGAAGGAACTATTACAAAAAGTTTGAGGTATTTTTCAACAAAAAAAAAGTTAATGCAATGGTCACTTTTTTGTTATGTTTTGGGGGGTCTTCTCGTATGAGCGGATATCTCAGTTTTGTTTTAGTAGCCATGGGTGTTCATTGTAAGAACTTCAGAAAAATGTTTTTAGCCAGTTGTTTAACAGTGGATTTATGTTAGGTTTGCCCTGAGTAAGCAGTGTTGCTGTGAACCTCCTTAAACCTTCATCTTTGTGTAGAACTAGGCATCGTGATGTCCTTCAGCAAATATATTTTCAGCAGTGGGCCTGCCGGGTCATAAGATATACTCACTTAAATATTGCATAGCCGGTGCCAAGTTGGAGGCTGGGACTGGTGCTCCGCAGCCTCAGCCTAGCAAAGATGGTTGTTCCACACATGGACGAGGCACTGATGTTCTAGTATGGACGCTGAGGGCAGGAAATGCGCTTAGCCAAGTGGGAGGATTGGGACGGCAAAGCTAGCTGTCTTCAAGTACAACGGCTGTAAAGTCCCAGGTGTGCCACCTCAGTCATTCTCTTTTCTCTTTCAGAAGCGCCACCACGTGTTGCAGACTGCCCATCCCTCCCCGCTGTCGGTGTACAGAGGGTTCTTTGGATGCAGACATTTCTCTAAAACCAACGAGCTGCTGCAGAAGTCTGGCAAGGAGCCCATCAACTGGAAGGATCTGTGACCCTGAACTTGGGGGAGGGGTGTCTCCAGGCAGTTTCTAGAAGCTGCTGTTGACGTATTTGTCAGTGACAAAGTCAGATTGAAAAAAATAATTTCCCTAGTGATTCTTAAACACTCTGCATACAGGCGAGAAAGTTTCAGTGGCCGTGCGTCAGGCTGCCCAGGAGTAGTGGCAGCTTTAGCCTAGAATACGCATCCCAGTTCTTGGAAGGGGAAGGAGGTCAAATTCTCCAGACTTCTCCTTCCCTCTGTTTCTTTATGGTTAAAGATGTGGAGATAAGCACCTTTTTTGGTATATAAGTCTAGCAATTATTTGTTCTTACTTGTAGGTGGAACTATAAGGTTATAAGGTTTTGGGTGTTTTTATGTAGAAAAGCCCCTTTTGCACATCCTGATCTTCCAGTCTGGGCCAGGTCACTGCCCTTGAACCTTTCCAGAGCCCTCAGACCCCTCCTTGAATTGAAGAAAGTAGGATTTTTGTTTTTGCTTTCTGGCCAGTTCCCAGAAATTAGGGATCCGTTTCCTGATAGTAGCAGAGGTGAAAATTGCTAAGGAACAATCCTTGACCTGAGCCTTCGGGCACAGAGGCCAAGAAAAGTGGGCTGGGTCTTCATACTGTTCTCCCGGGTGTTTGCTAGGAATAAGCAGTGGGAGTTGAACAGGAAGGAGGAGAAAGGGGGATTTTTTTTTTTTTTTTAAGAGGAAATAAACTGGGTTTTAAGGGCAGCACACTGTGGAGGACTGTTTATGGATTGAACTCACTTCGTGATACTTTTTTCTGCAACACTGGAAAAGTTTGCTCTTTTAAAACATACTATGTGGATGTATATATGTATTTTTTTAACCCGTTGTTTATGAGGCCATCTAGATTAGGTCTGCATCCTGTAAGAGATGTTATTTTGCTGTTAGCTGGGTTCAAAGTTAAACCTGCTCGAGTTTGGTAATAAAAAGTTGAAGTTTCGCTTTGTATCCAGTTCCCTCTGCCCAGTGCCCATCACCAGTCAGTTCCTGGGCCTGGGCATCTGCGGACAGCCTTGGTCTGAGGTCGCCATAGCGACCACTGGAGGCAGGAAGGACCGCCTCCGACCGCCCTCGCTCCTTCCTCTGCCCTCCCCCTGCCCCGATGGAGCCGCCCACCGTCGGCCAGGCTTCGGTAAGCGCTGGGCGGGGTTGCAGGGAGGGGCACGAGCAGGGTGACGGCGGGGGTCTCCAAGCCCGGGCCCTGTTCCAGCTTGGAGCTGTGCCCTGATTCCCAGCGCGGGGAGGCTAGATGGGGTCAGGGACTGCGGAGACCCTAAAGGGGCCACTTCAGCTGGAAGACATTTCTGCAGAGATCTTGGTGTGCCAGTTAGGGCTGTGTCCTGCCAAACCCCGGGACTGCGAGGGGAGCTTCCTCCACCAGCGTTTGCAGACTTTCCTGGAAATCTGGAGTTGAGTGAGGCGGGGAAGACGCCGCGATAGCACGCTGACCTGCCCGCACGTGTGGAGTGGCGGGGGTGGCCCATCGAGAGCAAAGGCTGGGTGGATGCCCCTGGTGTCCGGTGGAGGGAGTTAAAGGGATCAGGAGGGCTTGGTAACACGCGTGCCTGTGTTTAGGCGGATTAGAAAGTGAGGGCACCTAGGCCGGCGGGACATTTCTTCTGAAAGCAGGGAGTTGGAAACCTTCCTGTCGCTTTCCCTCCAAGCCTCAGTTTTCTTATGTTTGAAGAGAAAGGCTCGCAGTGCCGCTTCTGCATCAGCAAGCAGGCTTTCCCAGAAGGAAGACTGAACAAAGATACATTCTTCATTTGCCCTCGTAACTGGAGGGTCCTCAGCATTACCGCGAGAAATCCAAGGGAGAAATGAGCGTTTTAATGTTTCTGTATGGGTTAGGTTTTGACACTTCCCAACCAATACAATGCTGTGAGAAAGGAGGAAGCAGTAAGCTCTGCATCCCAATAAAGAATTCAAACAGCAAACTCATTTTAAAATATATATATACTCTAAGTATAGTGATGCTTTAAACAGAACACAGAGCAGCATCTTAAATGGCCTAATCACTGATCTTTTAGGAACAAGGCTCATTTTGATTAACTTTTTAGCTATGTGGTTGTAAATTTTTTTCCACGTTTTTGGATTGTTGCAGTCATAGCACTGGGTATGCCAAACATAAAAGGCAATCTTGGCTGTGTAGGTCAGAGGCCAGCATACCTTTTCTGTAAGGGGTCAGTAAATATTTAAGCTTTGCAGTCGTCCTGTCTCTCAGACCTACTCAATTCTTATAGAGAAAGCCACCACATGCTAAATGTAAGTGAACATGTGTGGCTGTGTTCCAATAAAAGTATGGACAGTCCGGCCGGTGTGGCTCAGTCGCTGGTTCGATTCCCGGTCAGGACACATTCCTGGGTTTTGGGCTTGATCCCCAGGAGGGGATGTGCAGGAGGCAGCCCATTGATGTTTCTCTGTCACATCAATGTTTCTGTCTCTCTTCCTCTAAAAAAATCAATAAAAATGTGTGGGTTTTTTGTTTTTTTTCCCCAAGGAAAAAAAGTATGGACACTGAAATTGGAATTTAATATGATTTGCACATGTCACGAAGTTGTCTTTATTTTTTTCAAGCATTTCACAAATGTTATAACTACTCTTAGTTCCCGGCCAGCGTGGCTCAGTGGTTGAGCATTTACCCATGCACCAAGAGTTCGGGTTCGATTCCCAGTCAGGGCACATGCCCAGGTTGTGGGCCTGATCCTCAGTGGGGGGCGTGCAGGAGGCGGCCAATCGATGTTCTCTCTCATCGATGTTTTTATCTCTCTTTTCCTCTTCCTCTCTCTCTAAAATCAATAAAGAATTTATTTTTTAAAAAAAGAAAAAAAAAACTACTCTTAGTTCAGGAGCCGCAGGAAAACAGACAGCAAGGGCCATAGTTTGCAGACCCCTGTTCTAGGTGCTCCTACTCATGCCAGCGATGATAGAACCCAGCTACCAAGTCCTCCCACTGTCCGGGCAGTTTCTGTGGCTCACTGGGAGCATGTCAGAACCTGGCCAAAAATGACTCCTGCCTCCACCTCAGCCAAGAAGAGGATCTACTGAGGGCTTTGGGAAACACAAGGAAGTCAGTTGTGCAATATGTCCTGGGAACCCCAAGTTATAAAATAATCATGTCAAAGTCACTATCTGTGATCGGAGTCCAGCGGGGCAAGATAGGGGAATGTGAATTGTTCTCTTTTTAATAGGCATCAGCATATTAATATGCTTCCTTTTTTTTTTTTTCAAATGGATTTTAGAGAGAGGAAGGGAGAGGGAGAGAGAAATATATATATATATTTTTTTTATCCTCACCCGAGGACATTTTTCCATTTTTTGTTCAGATAGAGTGGGAGGGAGAGAGAGGAAGAGAGAGAGAGAGAAACATTGACGTGAAAGGGACACATCGAGTGGCCGCCACCCGCACGACCAACCAGGGTCGGGGACAAACTGCAACCGAGGTGCGTGCCCTTAGCGGGAACCAAACCCGGGTCTCTCTGGACCGCAGGCCGACGCTCCAACCGCTGAGCCAAACCAGCCAGGGCAAAAATTTTGCCTTTTTTTTTTTTTTTATCCTCACCCGAGGACATTTTTCCATTTTTTGCACAGATAGAGTGGGAGGGGGAGAGAGAGAAACATCGACGTGAAAGGGACACATCGAGTGGCTGCCACCCGCACGACCAACCAGGGCCGGGGACAAACTGCAACCGAGGTACATCCCCTTAGCGGGAACCGAACCCGGGTCTCTCCTGACTGCAGGCCGATGCTCTAACCGCTGAGCAAAATTGGCCAGGGCGAGAGAGAAATATTGATGAGAGAGAACATTGATTGGCTTCCTCCTGCATGCTACCTACTGGGGATTGGGCCTACAACCTGGGATATTTGCCTTGTCCAAGAATCAAACCAGCAACCTGTTGGTGCGTGGGTCAACACTCAACCCCTGAGCCACACCGGCTGGGCTATGCTTCCATTATTAAATACGATAATACATTTTCTCCCTTTTAAAATGCACTTTTCTGCTTCAGTTTTGCTCCTGGTATCAAAAGTCTTAGAAAGGGTTTTGGATTGGGGAAGCAAACTTTCCGGTGTGTCTGTGTGTGGCAGTGGCTTTTTATCTTGGTCCAAACCTGGAGATGTACGAGGTATGGGCTCTCGGCTACTCTGGAGGGTCTGGAAGACGGACGAACACCTGCTGGCGATGGCCTCTTCCTATTTAGGGTCCTGACACTTTTCATCTGGGCCTCAGCCTGTAGCTACCTGTTGATGATCTCAGTTGGAACCACTGTTTAAATTTTTGAAGCCTATTTGGAAATACAGATGTTGGTGAGTGGGCAAACCAGGAGGTCAATACTTTGCATTCTTTGCCACCCGGTTGTGTATTTCCTGTGTCCTCCTTTTGGGGGCGATGGAGAGGAGGCTGAGGAGGCTTCAAACAAGCAATTAGTACTCAACCCTCGCCACAGAGTCACCTGGGGAAACTTTAAAAACTATTAAAGCCGGTCCCACTCCCAGAAATTCTGATTTAATTGGCCCTCAGGAGGAGGTGGAGACGTAGGCATGTTGATACCAGTTTGCAGCAGGACTGGCAACTTCTTTCCATGGGATCAGTTGATCTCCTCCGCCCCCCACCCCCTTTTTGGGCAAATAACTTGATGTGAATGACTTTGAATCTGTGTTTGAATATAGTTTTCTATTAATGTTCTTATGTTCAGTGGCAAAAGTGTGTGAACAGCTTTGGTTTCAAGCCTTCTATTTGGCTTCTAGAAAATGCCTATGACTTAAGGAGAGAGTGTCAATGGAGACAGAGCCACTAGAAAAAGTTCTTAATCTGAGCATGTGTGCGCGCGTGATTGCAGGGAGGGTGGGGAGTGTTTCTAGTCTTTCTGAAAGTAAGGAGTTCCTTTGATTTTATGAAGTGCCTGTTATGAGCAAGCCACTATGCTAAACGCCATTGAATTTTCTCACCCATGTGGTGAAGCAATTGAATGAGGAAATGGGCTCGGCCATTTGCCCAAAGCCACAGGTAACAGGGCTAGGATTCAAGCCCACGGCAACCTGGTTTCAAAGCCCAGTGGTCTTGTCACTATTGACACTCTGCCCAGACCATAATTATATGCTGTCATCAGGAGTTTAAATGGAGTCTAAAATTTTTCCCTTGAGTCACGGATGGCTCTTCTAGGAAACATGGAAGGACATGTCTATAGTTTGGAAGGTGCCCCTTTGCAAGGATTGCATGAGCTACTCCAGAATGAAGTCGTCTTGATAAATAATCTAACCCAGTCACAGGGGCGGCCAATTAGCAAGAACTCAAGGTATGCAAGCATTGTGCTAAGCCCTCGACCGATACTGTTTCATCTTCAACTATAAAGTGGATGTGGCACTATTCCAGGTGACAGCTGATGACACCGAGGCTTCAAGAGGACCCAGGAGGCAGGCAAGAAGTGTATTTCCTACTTATCAGTCCAGTGGAGAAAACCCCAAGAAGTCCACTCTCAGATGACTTTTCCTTCTTGGAAACGCCCACAAATGAAATAGCTGCTCCGGCCGGGCGCAGGCTGCCTCTGGCACAGCTGCCAGGTAAACCGTTTGGCATAAACTCTGCTCTCTCGCCCTTTTTTCTACTTGCCTCCTGGTTTACCAGAGCACAATGCCCTTTTGTGCAGCCTCTGCTT